GGATAAGGGCATGCATTGCTCGGGCCTATCTGTCTCAGTCTCTTCCAGTTCCTGCACACATTACTGCTCATTCCACTCGCAGTGCTGCTGCTTCTGCTGCTTGGTCCACGCAGGCTTTGGTTGAGGAGATTTGTAGGGCAGCGATGTGGTCTTCCCCTTCAGTATTTGTCAGACATTATAGGATAGATAGGTTTGCAGCGGCCGATGCTGCATTTGGCAGACGGGCCCTGTTCTTCGCAGGGGACACAAACCTAGACTCCCCCCTCCGTAGGGACATGAGCAGCTTTAGTATGTCCCATCTGGTGGATTCTACACTCATTATGCTGGAGAAGGGGCGTTGTCTTACCTGAACGCCTTTTCTCAGCATGATGATGTAGAATCCACACCCTCCTGTGAGGCAGTCTAGGCAGGTGTCTTGATAATTGGAGCCAGTGTGCCGGACTTCGTCAGAGATGCTTCGCCTCGTCAAAACTGGGAAGACACACCCTGAGGGAGGCGTGGCCAAAGTTCTGACCTAATCTATCTGAGCAGGAAGGCTGAAATAACCCATCCGGTGGATTCTACATCATCAAGCTGAGAAAAGGCGTTCAGGTAAGACAATACCCCTTTGCTTTGTTTTGTTTTGTTTTGTTGGTTAAAAATAAAAATTTAAAAAAAATAAAAATAAAATAAAGATAACAGAAAAAAAAGAGAGAGAGATTATATTTGCCACTTAGAACAGCAGGCAGGTTCCAACATCAAAGTAATTTAGTTATTAATTTATAAGATGACCATATTTCACATATCAAACCAAAAGATGTTTCTCATCTCTCTCCACACATTGTAGGAAAATCAAGGGAAATTTAGTCATTTTTCAGTGTGGTTCTCATTTACCAAGGACAAAAGCACATAATAGTAACTAATAAACTGAATGTGATCGATGCGGATCATATGGGGAAGTCCTTAGAATTTTATTTAGAACCCCAGATTGCATAGAAATACCTTCAAATGTAGCCCTCCAAAGCTATCTAGCTCATTTATTATTTGTTATATTTTATAGGAGTATCTAAGCATCTGTGTTCCCATTCTCATAACAGATCATGAATATGTCAAAAACAAATTATAAATGGAAACATTAAATAGAAACAGTGTTATGCAACAAAATGCAGCCTTTGTTCCTAAAGAATTGTTCGGAAGTCTAGCTACATCTTATATTGCAGCTGTAGCTTCAACAGCTCATTTTCCACTTCAAACTGTCCTTGGAGGATATACTTTGCATTAGAAAAAAAATATGCTTTAACCTTTCACCTGACAGTTGATTTGCCCTTGAAAATCTTGCACAAATGCTTCCTATTTACAAAATTTTAGTCCCAATCACATTGTAAACAATTTGGATTCCTATGGATGGAAAGAACAATTGAGAAGGGAATATTCAGCAAAGAAGTAGCAGGCAGAAGAAGGATTAAACACGTCTTTGTGGGAATTTAAATTTCTAATTTTGTTAATTCTCTAAAGGTTAAAAGAGTGTTTTTTATTATTCTGCAGTACTTAATTTGCTAAGGCTTAGCTATCAGTGCTATAAATCAGGTGGGGGGCCTATGATGTTCTAGGTGTAAAGGAATTCCCACCAGTCAATAGTGAGAGATTGAAGTTTAAATTCAATATTTTGAGGACCACCAGTCATTCATTCCTACTATCTATTTTTGTATTATGAAATTTAACTGGTCTCGCCATGCTCATTATACTAATTATTGACTCAGGTTGACTCAGCCTTCCATCCTTCTGAGGTCAATAAAATGAGAAGCCAGATTTTGTGGGCAATAAACTGACTTTGTAAAACCGCTTAGAGAGAGCTGTAAAAAGCACTGTGAAGCAGTATATAAGTCTAAGTGCTATTGCTATTGCTATTGAATTTGTATCCACTGCTGTACTCATTTTATTTAATTGCTATATTTTAAGATCATAATAGAAGATTATAGACTTCATTCATCCAAAATAATCTGATGTAACATTATTATCTGATGGCAATTGTAAATAGAAACTAAAATGCTTAAGGAAGAAAGGAAAATACCAGTATTAACTTCAGGTATATATAACTGACCAGTAAATTATTTGAATTCAAATAAAAGAGAATATTTGTAGTATAAGTTTGAACTATGGCGTTCTTTGAATTCTCTGAGCTGGTTTGTTTGTTTCATTACCTAACTAGGGAATATCAAGAGCATAAGGCAGTGATGGCGAACCTATGCCATGGGTGCCAGAGGCGGCACTCAGAGCCCTCTTCTGTGGGCACACGCGCCATCGCCCCAGTCATAGACCTTCAGCTGGGTTTTATAAAACTTTTTCGCTTTAGGCCTCTGCTGCTGTGTGCAAAAAAAAAAAAAAGGTTCAACCCATCAGTTAATTTCAACTTCTCGCGGGAAAAAAAAAGATCTTGCAAAGTTGGAATTGATTGATTGAACATTTTAGTCCGACTCAGTCTGCCGTTACCACCGCAGCCGCACCTACCTAATAGGCCACACACCCCAATTGGCCACATCCAGCCAATGGGCCATACCCACCCGGCACCTGACGATGCGTAAGTGGGTTATGGGTTGCAGTTTGGGCACTTGGTCTGTAAAAGGTTCTCCATCACTGGCATAACGCATGTGTGAGCCAGGGGCATCCCCTACAAGGGATGAAAAAAGCAGGGTGATGATCCCAGCAGCAGCACAAATGAAACTTCACCTCTTTTCTGTGATGTGATATCCATGTATAAAAGGAGTTGGATTTAATTATGCTGCTTGGTTGCCATCTTCAGGTTTTTTAACACAGACATGAACTCTGCACATGTGGTAGGTTGGGCTGGACAGCATGGAGCATAGGTTTTTCAGAATGTAGGGCATTTTCCAGAACAATCACTACAGACTATCTGAAATTAAAATAGTTAATTTTAGTTAATAGTTAAGGAGAGGAATTATCAAAGAAACAATCTACTTGCTAGCTCTTCATTCCACTGCAGTCATCAGCTCTGCTTTTTGTGGAGGCATCATCAATCCATTTTTTCCCCAAAAGTCATGAACTTACATATCTCATAAAGAATGCCAATTAAATGCAAGATTCTTGTACAAACATTAAAGCTCCAATGATTGCAAGACTGTGATAAGCACCTGAGCTTCAGTATTTGCAGGTTTGTGAAAAGAAGTTTTATTTTTTAAACAAAATGCTCATCAGCTAATCTAAATACTGATGGACAACAAATATATTTTAAAGTTTCCATGTTCTCTGTTTACTGTAGGAGAAAAACTGGTAATAAAAATAGTACAAAATATAGCAGACAAAAATGGGTTAAATGATGAAAATATATGAAATAATAGTAGAAATAATAAAAGTAATTGTACAGTGCAATAAGAAAAAGGATAGTTAAACCTAATATCATCATTCCTGTACTTTCCTTTTCACAGAATATAATGTGGGGAAAATTAAAATATGTTACTACCATCAAAGTTACAGTGGAATAAAGAAATAACTGTTAGTTTTTTATGTAGTGTTTCAAAATATGATAAAAAGTTATTAGTACGGTAATCTTTTTCTTTCTATGAGTCTTTTAAAGGAAGGTCAAGTTGATCATTGTATAAACATTTTCAGTGATAAAAAAAGTCATCTAATTCTCTTTTGTGTGTCCTGTAGTTGCAACTGTTGCTATATATTAATCTAATTGAGGTTGACTTTGGGAGTCAATGATTCAGGTGGTCTAGAGCTGACCTTTAAGGATTGTTTTGGATTGTTTGGGGTGCCTCAGTTTTATGAGTATTATACCATTATTCTTCATGTACTTCATTTATCCAGGGTGAAGCATTGTAAAGGGGTAGAATATAAGCTGGATTCCATATATTTTAAAGGTCCTATTAGTCTCCTAAGCAATTGACCTCTGAAATTTGGCAGACCATTAGTTTAAATAAAGAAGGAACTGCTATCTATTTGCTGAACTGGAATGCTTCATTGTTGCCTGTGTATTTTCATGCAACTGAACTATTCAGAAAGGAAGATAGGATGGGAGAGAAAAGCAGCCCTGGTACTAAATGCCAGCAGGTTTCCTGCATGCTGTCATGGCAACCAACATGGCTCCTTGCCCAGTACCAGAACACCAGCAAAATATAAACAGAGGCCTTCATGGGTGAAAGCTCAGTAGAATCTCAGAAATTGCTCTGCACATTGCACCTACCGAGGATCCTTTATGCATTTCCTTCTCTACCTGATGTTCTTTTTAATTTTATAAAAAGGCTATAAGTTTTCTTCAAAATTTATCAAACGTTATTCCAGTAATATTTTTACCTTTGGCCTGGTCCCAGAGTTACATAAATAAAAATAACATTGTACTTCGTTTCACTGTCAAAAACTTGTATAGAAATATGTGCATACTTTAATGGATGAAAATTGGATGGAAGAGTCCAAACTTTATGTCCCCAATTATAAATAAAGCTTATTGTGTAGCCCGAGGAAGTAAGAAAGCTAATTTGCAATCTAAACCAGATGAAGCTAAAGATAATATTCAACCCTTTAAATATAGGTAATCCCAATATAACGACTGATCACTTAGTGACTGTTCAAAGTTACAATGAACTTGAAAAAAGGTACGATCCATCCTTGAAGTTAAAACTGCCACATACTATCCCAGGGGTAGGCAACCTTGGCTCTTTTATGACTCGTGCATAGCATAGCTGGCTCAGGAATTCTGGGAGTTGAAGTCACGAGTCATAGAAGAGCCAAGGTTGCCTACCCTTGCACTATCCCATACAATTTCCATTATCATGTGATTACATTTTGGACATTTGGCAATTGGTTCACATTTATGACTATGGTTGCAGCATCCCATCGTCACATGATCACAATTTGCTACACTTTTTTGCCATTTCCTAGCCCCCCAAAAAAGCCCATTTGGGAGAATGGATCCACTTAGCTATGTGATTTATTTAATGACTGTGATGGTTCACTGTATGACCATCATAAATATTTCTAACTTTCTTTTTTTCCTTTCTTAGGATCCAGGTGAATGACCTTATCGTTGAGGTGGATGGTACCAGTTTGGTGGGCGTGACTCAAAGCTTTGCAGCCTCTGTGTTGAGGAATACCAAGGGTAGAGTCCGGTAGGGGAACAATGTGCAGCCTAGTTTTCTGATGGGACCAGAATATGTAGCTGGTTTATCTGTGTAAAAATACAGAAAAGGAAAAGTATGATCTCATTGAGAGTTGTACTGCAGCATAGGAAAAAGTTCTATAAGCAGTTATTTTTGTTTCCTGTGAAACCATTGTAGGAGTAAGAGGGCCACTGATAGGTTTTCCTGCCAGCCGTAGTTTTGCTTCTTTGGTTTATATGTCAAGCAGATAGATAATATTGACTTAGCAAATTTATTACATCATGGGACAGCCAAGAGGCTGTAGTCTTAATGGTTTTAAACAATACATTTTGTTTTCATTTGCTGTCAATAGAACCTTTATTTGCAAATCAAGAACAATGGAAACAAAACGGAATTCACATGAAAAAGAGCATGAATCAGATGAGGATAAAGATTCCCTTTATTGCAGTATTTTTACTGATCAGACAAAAGAGATAAAAGAAATTGGATGATTATATGTGTTTGTGGCAGAGTTTATATCTTTCATTCTGACAGGACATAAAGATTTTTAGCTACTTTCTATCAGACACAAATTCAACTATTGGATGTGCAGTGGTAGAAGCTCTCTTACTGAAGTAAGTGATGTATCACCTTTTTTTAAGACACAAGCATTTTTATTGCAGTGCTTTGAAATAGTAACAAAAGTACTAATGTTGAAGATGCAGATGAAGGTTAATAAGTGGAATCCTTCTCCATCATGGAAATCAAATGCTGAATATCTGCCTGTTACCCCCAATTGAAGGCCAACATTATATACATCAAGTTATATTACAGTACTACATTGTGTATATTATATTACGGTATTACCGTACATGTTATAATAAATTCTCAATAGGTGTTTGAATTTGATAGCATGGCTTAAGTACAGTCCTGGTCAGATGCATTTTTAAAATATAACTCTTGTTGAGTAAGAGAACATTTTAGAGTTATGGCAACTTTTTAATTTCTGTATTCTTCCCTGCCTACACTCCATTGTGGTTACTTACCCTTTTCTTCTTTAAAACCTACAGTCCATTTGAAAAAGCAAAAAAGCAAATGGGAGAAATAAGAGTGTGCTAATGATGCTGGATTTTAGAGCATAGGCAAAAGAGGAAAAATCATCTCATTCCCACCAGATTAATGATGATGAAGTTTGTGGATTTCTATTGTGTGTGTGTTTGTATGTGTGCGCGCACACACACACATTCTCTGCATAAGATATATAGATATAGATATGCAGAGATCCAAAGAATTGTGATCAGAACTGGAAGGGAAAATTAGGTGGAAGTTTTAGATTTTGTTTTTAAAAATACCTCTTTAAAGAAAATGGTTTATGAAACAGACATTTTGTTTAATGAAATTGGCAAGAACCCTTACTTGGCAACGTTGCCCTGTTGGGATTGGGTTCATTTTATAGAAACTGAGGCACAACACCCATTATCTCAGATTATGTATCTTTGCATCATAGAGAAGTGTTCCATGTCAGGGCTGTTTCATTTTCTAAGAAATGAATCAAGACGTTTTGAATGGACTCGGAGGGGGGAAGTGATATTGAGCTTTGGGTTCACTGCATTTTCCTGTCAGCTGTGTTTCTATTTGTCGTTTATCCATACAGCTCCCTCTGTGGCCTTTTTAAAATCTCACCAGAGGCATTTGGCCTGCCTTTTCCTGGCAGTATTAAGAATTCAAGGCTTGGCATTAGCCCGTTGTCCTTGTAATGTTGGTTTTAAAAGAATGAGCCACTTGAAAATGGTCTGTCACCAAACACATCGAGCACAAACAGACACAGATGATGAGTGATTACAGAAGGCACTTTCTATCAGAAGACCTGTACAATATAGGACTCAGATCTAGAACTCAATCCATTACTCTGAGACTTATGTGCTTATTCCCAAGCGATAGGAACTTCAACTATGAGAATGCGTTGCTAGGCAACTAGTTTCTTCCATATTTCATAGCGCTCATTCTGCCTTTGCAGGCAAGAGATTTTAGTAACCAATAAAGTGTTTGATGACCAATTTAATTGTTGAACAGACGCAATTTAGCCACAATTTTCCCTGTTTTTTAAAAAATTACATTGTTTCACAAAAGTGCCAATTTCTACCTAGATGTTAATTTGTGAAAGTAGAAAGGTGGAATATTTTATAAATCTAATAGTAATTTTCTGTAATCTGGAAGCTTGATGCAATTATGCTGGTGTCTTTATGGAATTGTTCAGAACTTCATCCATGTGTTCAGGGGCATTCAGCTTTATTCTCCCAATTCTGAACCTTGAATAACAGAATAATACAGTTGGAAGGGATCTTGGAGGTCTTCAGGTCCAACCCCCTGCTCAAGCAGGAAACCCTATAGCATTTGAGACAAATGGTTGTCCAATCTTAAAACCTCCAATATTAGGGCACACACACCTTCTGGAGGCAAATCATTCCACTAATTAATTGTCAGAAAATTTCTCCTTAGTTCTAAATTTGTTTTTTCCTTAATTAGTTTCCACCCATTACTACTTCTCCTCCCTTCAGGTACTTGGAGAATACATTGGCCCCCTGTTAGCTATTGGAACACTGCTATCATGTCACTACTAGTCTTTCTTTTCATTAAACAATATTCAACCCCTGCAACTGTTCTTTATATGTTTTTGCCTTCAGTCATCTTTGTTACTCTTTTCTGCATTCTTTCTAGAATCTCAACATCTTTTTTATACCTTGGCAACCAAAACTGGATGCAGTATTCCAAGGATGGTCTTACCTAGCAATTATAAAGTGGTACTAATACTTCATGTTACCTTGATTCTATCCCTTTGTTAATACAACCTAGGACTGTGTTGGCTTTTTTAGCAGCTGCAGCATACTGCAGGGTCATATTTAAGTGATTGTCTACTAGGATTCCAAGATTCCTCTTGCAGTTACTACTATTAAGCCAGGTACTATCTCTTCTATACCTGTGCATTTGGTTTTTTGTTTGTTTGCTTTTTTTGCTTAATTTTTTTTCATTAAATTTCATTTTGTTAAATAGGGTTAATGTTCAAATCTGTCACAATCCTTCTGGATCTTGAGCCTATCTTCTGGAGTGTTGGCTATTCCTGTCAGCTTGGTGTTGTCTGAAAATTTGATAAGTTTGATAAATCATTGATGAATATATTGAAGAGTACTGGGCCTAAAACAGAACCTTGGGGTACCTCACTACTTACTTCACTCCATGTAGATGTAGTTCCATTAAGGACTACACATTGAGTGTGGTTGGTCAGCTAATTATTAATCCATTTGATGGTGATGCTGTCTTTTTTCTAACTTACCAAGAAGTGGGTTGTGGTCTACTTTGTCAGATGCCTTACTGAAGTCCAAGTAAATTATATTCAAGCATTTCTCTGGTCCACTGATTTTGTTACATTGTCAAAGAATGCAATAAGATTTATCTGGCATTTTCTGTTTTTGACAAATCCATATTGGCTTTGTTTTGACTTTGTTTACAGATTAATCGCTTGATTATCTTTTTCAGAATCTTTCCAGGTATTGATGTCAGGCTGATAAGTTTGCAGTTTCCTGGGTCCATTTTTTTCTTTTTTTGAAGATGGGAACTATATAAGCCCATATTAAAAATCAGCATTAAAGATAGCTGTGCTAAACCAAACTCAAATTAAATCTTTCTTTGAACCATATTTATGTTGGAATCTGCTTCCCCTGCCTCTCCCCTATTGGTCAGAAAAAAGAGGCATCTCTATTTTTCTCCAAAATTAATAGAAATGATACTGGCTATTTAAGGAGGCTTACTAGTAAAGAAGAATGAGCAATTCCTCATCCAGCATACGGTACTAATCTAATTAAGAAAGCTTAGTAGCTGTTCCTTAAGAACTTAAGCAAAATTCTGATCTCATATGCCTGAACATTAAGAAAATTTATTTTGGCTCTGAGAATCCTCTGATGTGGTGTCCATTTAGTACTGTGGTAGGTAGTCTATTGGTAATAAGCAGTCTGTACTTAGGATTTTTGTTTTGTTTGCATTCGCTGGATACCAGCGATCATATTCCCCAAATTTCCACAGCAAACCACCAGAACAGTGGTAGCATAGTTCCCCTATTTTCAGCCAGAAGTAAAGGAACACTTATGTCATAAGCTTCAGATAAATTTAACATACCTAAAACAAGCCCCTCCTTGAATGATTGTGGGGTAGGGAGGTTCCAAACCTGACCCCACACATTCCAGTGAATTTCCTGTTTTCACATGAGTTAATATTTAAAAAGAGACTTTTTTCAGACTGAAATTAGCTTGCCCAATTCTTGATGTAAACCGTTTCAGCATTACCTTAGTGTGAAAACAGGAAATGTAATTTTCTTGAATGTACTGCTTCCTGTATTCCAAAGAATTATTTGAACTGGTCATCAGTTCTGTACTACAATTGTGAGCCGTTCGGATTGTATCTATTATGGTCTTTTGTTGCAAAAAAAAAAAAAAAAAATACAACTCAAGTCACTAAAAAGTTAATTTCTCTTGAATTAGTAGGAGAAAGTAGTGTTGGTGTGTGTTAGTCTTTACTTCTTGTCATTTGCTGTGGTTGAAGAGTAGAAATAAACAGATCTGTGCATATTTATTCAAGAGCTAGAATACTTTTCACTCTGTTGTAGATAAATACAGAAATATAACCTGACTACCCAATTCGTTATTTGATCATATCAAGATTTCCCTTATTACATTAATGCCATGCATTCATTCTATTCACTTTAATTTCCTTTAGGTTCCTTATTGGCAGGGAGAAGCCAGGAGAGCAGAGTGAAGTGGCGCAACTGATCCAGCAGACTCTGGAACAGGAACGATGGCAGCGAGAAATGATGGAACAGAGATATACCCAATATACAGAGGAGGATGAAGAAGTAAGTACAATCTATTTCTCTTTGCCTTTGGGGAGAGAGGAAAGTAGCAGAACTCCAACCTTAAATTCAGGGAAGCTAAACAGCTGTTAACATCTGTGAAGACCATTTTGGAGTACTCATGAATTTCCTTAAGCTCCCACTTTTTTCTATATAATTGGTGGAGGGCTGGTCTCTTCTTAATATCATTTTCTGTGCTGCTTATTACTATATTAGCACCTCACAATGAATCTGTGGCTATTCAAAACATTTAAACATGTTAATGATAAAGTTTATGTATTTTGCTTCATAGTGATATAGGCACAGAAAGAGCAGAAATAAACTGAATGTTCTAGTTTCATATGAGATATCATTTGAAAAGAGACATATAAGGAAGAGATATACAAATTTCAGTTTGAAATTAGCTTGCTCATTTCTTGATGCAAATCATTCCAGCTTTATCCTGCTTGAAATCAGGAAGTGTAATTTTTTTGAACTTACTACTTAGTTCCTGAATTCTAAAGAATTATTTAAAGTAGTCTTAGTTCTGTACTTAGTGTGCTGTTAGGATGAACATCAGACTCTCTAATGATAAAACTTGTTTTTGTTATTTGCAGACAGGGGAATATGCTACAGATGAAGATGAAGAGATGAGCCCCATGTTCCCCAACAATGAGATGGCTATTGAGGTTTTTGAATTGGCTGAAAATGAAGATATGCTGTCTCCAGTGGAGATGGATCCTGAAAAGCTAGTGCATAAATTTAAGGAGGTATACGGCTTCCTAAAGTGGAGGATGGGTGGGAAAGTAGCTGAAACTTACAACTTACGTTAAATGTGTGCATAACAGCATTACTACTAAATCTGGATTTAAAAATAAAACTTGTTGAGGGATAGCTGGATGGGAAAGAAGAGGGGGACTTAGATTTCATTGCAATGAAATAGCTGGATGGGAAAGAAGAGGGGGACTTAGATTTCATTGCAATGAATATTAGCAGCAATTTGGTAATACACAGTAGTGAAACCAGTTGCACTTCCTCCCTTCTTGCTATGATTAGAGAAACAAGGTAATCCACAGTTGTTCATTCTTGGATCAGCTAGGTTAATTAGTTCAGAAAATTATTTTATTGACTCTAGAATACATTTTGACTTAAGCCAGTAATACTTTTTTCCCAAAATTAATTTTTTTTGTAAGTACAAAATTTATACCCCCCCACAAAGCAATATTGAATTTTAAATGATCACCCATTCACTTAAAAGCAAGACTAAGACTAGATTAATCAGCCTCTATTATAGTATTCTCTGGGAAGTTTTTATTTTTTATTTATCGTATTTTGGAACTGCCCAGCTTCCTCACAGAGGGATTCTCGATGGTCTACATTAAAATATTAAAACACAGACACAATATGTAAAAGTTAAAAAGACAGAACACAAAAACAATGTTAAAAATTAATTAAAAGCTGAAGGGAGGGCTTTCAGGGTGCTAACCAGCCTCACAGTTGCGTGCTCCTCCTCTGCGCTCTCCAAGCAAGGCCACAGAACATGTTTCTATCCCTCTCTGGGTGGTCAGGAGAATGGGGTTTGCCTCACCTCCCGGGGGGGGGGGGAGAACATTCCACAATGGCAGACAAGGCTTTCTTTTTGAACTTACCAGTCATAATTCTGTAACTGGCAGGGTCCACAATATACCTCCCTGCCTGACTGGGTGGGATTGGCCAATGTAATGGGACAAAGACAGTTCCATAGATAGTCGTATATTAAGGCATTCCTCCTAATTAAATATTATACTATTACTGGGTGGGAGGGGGAATTAATTTTACCTATAAGTATATATAGTATTTCTGTAAACTGCTTCTTATAAAAGAAGCACACCAGGAATGCACTAGGCCAGGGTTTTCAACCAGTGGTACGGGTACCACCTGTGGTACATTGGCACCTGGCAGGTGTTATGTGACCATCCTAGAAAAGTGGTAGCGGGGGAGGGGAATGAGCTGATCCGGTGGCAGCACTGCACAAGCCTGAGCGAGAGATGGCTGGAGCTACAGGGCTGTCAGGGCTCAGCGGAAGTGCCAGGATCAGCACTTCTTCGGGGCTGTCAGGGCTCAATAGAAGCACCAGGATCAGCGCCAGGCTCCAGCTGGAGCATTCAGCTGGAATGTTGCAGCATCTCCAGGGTCTTGTGATTTACATTCAGATGCTTGGCAACTGATTCATATTTATGACGGTCACAGTGTCCCAGGGTCATGTGAAGTGACCAAAACCTGCTGCAACCACCCAGCAGATGGGAGGGAATAAAAACTAAACACCCCCACCCCACCCACGCTGTCAATCCTCAACAAAAATGCTCACAACAATGAAAACCTTGGATAGGAGGAAGAGCGCCGCCAGGTGGACAGGCAGGTGTCTTGCTCGGCTGTGGCTTGGGGGGCACTTTTTTCAGTGCCATTGTAACTTCGAACAGTCACTAAGCAAACTGTTGTAAGTTGAGGACTACCTGTACTTTATCACTTTTTTCCTTTTTTTTTTTTTGGTCATCACGTTTTTGACACCTTGCTAGTCAACTGGTGGTACTCAGATGTTGCCATATCCTAAAAGTGGTACAATGGGTGAAAAGGCTGAAAATCCCTGCACTAGGCTAGGAAAGCCTGTCAAAACAACCTTTGAATATCTTTCACTCCTTCTGTAAAGCAGCCTTAAATTTGGATTCTGAAGTAAGATTCTGCATATTTCTATTAGAATTACCTGATTCTCAGGATGGCATGGGTGAAAGGAAAGAGTTGTTTTCTTAAGGTTTTGAATTTTTCAGTACTTCAAAAAGAATGATAGCATATTACAGCAACCAAGCTGTAATATCAGAAGCAAGCATGTGAAGAAGGAAAAGATAATGTAAACATTGTTGATAGTGAGACATGAGATGAGAAGTAAGTAGATCTAATAGAATTAGGGTAATTTAAATCATGGCATATAACTGCCTGATTTAGTGCAGAAGCCTAAATTGTCTATAACAGACTGCTGCCTAGCTTCCATATGAAACATACCCATAAATGTGTTTTTATTATTAAGACATTCTGCTAGCAGCCCTGAGTCCTTTGGGATTGGGTGACATATAAATATTTGAAAATAAATAAATAAATAAAATAAATCAGAATCTGAGTTTCTATAACTTAATCTGACCTTCTGTACCTTAACTCCATAATTCTAAGTTCTGTATTCTGAAGCAAAAAATAACATGATGGTTTCGTGTGTGACATTCTTTCAGGTATTTGAGCAATTCTATTGCATATCTCTCTCAACCATCTTTCTCAAAGTTTCTATCTTTTTGAATTTGTCTTCGTAGTTTTTTTATCTTCTAATCATCCTTGTGGGTTTCTGATTTTTCTGAGTATTTCCTAAACTACGGTGTTCCAAACAGGACTAACACTTAAAGTCAGATATGACCAATGCAAAGCATAGTGGATCAAATATTTCTTATGATTTGGAAAATTTACTTCCGATGCATTGGGGAGTTTTTTCAGCCATTTTTTTTCCAGCCACTGCAGATTCATACTCAGTTTACAACCAATTATATTCCAGTATCATTTTCACAAGTACTAAGCCAGGTATCTCTCTTTAAGATCTGAATCTATTAAATTTAACATTGTTATTTTGAATCTTTTTCTCTAACCTGTAAATAATTGTTTTCAACTGTATTTCTTCTTACACAGTATATTTTTCTCACCCAGTTTTTGTCATTTTTATATCTAATATGGAGATTCTTTGCTAAGGGAGGATTTTTTTGTAATATGTTTTATTTATTTATTTATTCATCGTATCTTTTCAGTATTCCTACCATCTTCTCATCCAAGCCATTAATAAAAGTATTAGAAAATTCAGGATTATCTTCTAATACTTCTCTCCAGTTCAATGCAGAATGTTCATTGAATATGATTTCCAAGTCAACAGTATATCACTTTCTTAATATACCTATTTCTTAATCAGCATGTCTCTGCTGAAGTTAAAATAGGTTATGTCTATAGCATTTTCAAAATCTATTAAGGAAATTGCCCAATTAAAAAGGAGATAAGACTAGTAATGAGAAATCTGTTCTTAACAAATCTGTGCTGATTTCTACTAATCATCACATTGTATTTAAAACACCTACCTCTTTATTTATGATGTACTCTAAACTCTTCCTAGGCATCAGTATTAGATAGATTGGCTATAGTTCCCTGCATCATTATTTTCCCTTTTTTATGAAGACAAGGACAGTATTTGCCCTTTTCCTATCTTCTAGTACTTTACCAGTTCTTCAGGATTTCTTTAAGATAACTAATCAAGTGGCTCATCAGGAAATTATTACATTGGCTTAAGATATAATTAATTTGGCCCTTGTTGAATTTCAAGGAATATATTCCTCTTTGGCCCTGTTCCCATTTGTACCCACCCACAGCCTGAACATTTCCTGTCAACCTTTTTTCTTCATATAATTTTGTTCATTTGGTTTCCAGTCCACAATGGGACAGTCTTAAGTTGTTCTTAGTTATATAGGTAGAACTCAAATTATGAACAGTTGTTTAACAATCAGAGTTACAACAGAATTTATAAAAGTTACTTACAATGCATTCTCTAAGTTACAACTGACATACCATCCCTGTTATCTTATGATCGCATTTCAGCACTTGGGATCAGACTTGATTGCACTGTGCAATTTTTCTCCATTTTCCAACAAAAACCCTGCAAAAGCATTCACTGGATAAGTTAGATTTGGATTTATGAATACATGATTCACTTAATGAAAATTGTAAAAACAGTCATAAAATCAAATTTAATCATTGACTTGATTTACACCACGATGAATCATGACCAAAATTCCAGGTTCAATTGGGGTTGCATTTTTTCTTCTTAACCTGTTGTATTTTGCTACCCATTGCACTGAATATATCGGGATCAATAGTAGATAGGATCCGAGAAGCATTTATACTCCATATCAGGCTGGTATCAGCATACCCAATAATATCTGACCTCTGATCAACCCATCTTCTGCCATTCTTCTCTTCTTTCCTGGGCAAAACAGCACTGTTCCTGTGGTCCTTCAGATTTGTGCAGGAGCAGTAGAGCTGAAATTGTGTGGGGATTTTCTTTTGCATGCCTTAGCACACTTTCTCTTGCAACCTGCAGATTGTTTCCAATCATGATTACCTATCTGCTTATGTGAGACAGTCAGGCATGTAGATGTCACCAGTGTATAAAGATGGAAATCGGCAGCTGGATAATGTAAGCAGCTGTCTGTCAGAATTGTACAATAACACTAGAAAACTCAACCAGCAGTGCCATAAGTGGTTTAACTCTGTGATTCTTAATGATTTAGTGTGATGCTGAAATAGCATAACACCCACCTGTGTTGCTGCTTCCACAGAACATGACAGCATTTGGAAGCTGAAAATTTGTTACCTTTATAAAGAAAGAGAAAGTGCTACCTTGTGATTCAGCTTTCTTCATGACTGATCTGTTGTTGTTAAATCCAGTTTGAATTTAACTCAGATTATGGCAGAAGATGGTAGAAGAAGAGGAACAAAAGAAAGAGCCTACTGATGAGAGATAGAATGCTGTAGATAGACAACCTCCATTTCTGCTGAAGTATTCTGATTGGCAGACAGTTTTATTTTTTCTGCTAGTTGGTAAAATGCAAAGGGGCAGCAAAATAAATAGCTGAGAGGAGAGTTCAGAATAGAACTACTAGTGACATGGTAGCGTCATAGTAGTAGTCATAACCTTCTTTTGGGAGTGAATGGTTTTGAAGTATAGAATATAATGCTTTGGAAGGCTTTTACTTTCTCCTTTCTTAGTTCCACTCTTCAGAGAGCAGGACATCTGGCGTCTTTGGTTGTTTTCTTGCAGATGTTTTATTGCCCAGCCTGTAACTTCTTCAGTGCTAGCAACTAAGTTCAGAAAGCAACAAGGAGTCCAACTCTGAGCTACAATATTCTTTACAGTTGGTACTGGGACATCTGAATCAGTGCTGCAGTCCTAATAAAACTATATTTTCTTCATCTCTGCAATGACCAAGAACCGTGCATTTTAGATTAGTCCATTCAAGATGACTTCAGTCATATATCTTGCAAATGATAGTGAATAAACAGTAGAAATTGGGAATGAGTCATAACAACATTTGCACAGCTCACATTGCTGCTTCAAATACTGCTCCTGGCATTCTTTGTGCACAAAATGGCTGTGTACCCTTTTATGAATACTTAGCTCTGGTATGCAGATCTGGCGCATCCATATCTATCCTCTTTTTCCCTCAACTATAGAAAGGTACTATGAAGTGCTGCAGATGGTTAACTCTCAAGTCCAAGTATCTGCAGTCTATGAATGGTAATTAAAAAAGAGAAGGATTTAGAAATAATAGGTTGGAAAACATTAAATGTTTGTTTCATTGCTCCACCAGTAATGTATGAAGTGGTCCCTCATCAACCCTAGAATGTGCGTCAGCAAGTTTTTGTTTAAGCAATCCAGTCAAGGCTGTTCAGGGTTGATTTACTGTCATGGTGAAAGACAGGAGAGTGCATGTAGATAATTGTCACAGCAATGCTAAATTGGAATTTTAAGAAGACCCAGAGGATATAGGAGGAGGACAGGATTCTCTGCTCTGATTTTAGAATGTTGAGAAAGACCAAAACTGAGCCCACATCTGCCTTGGGGTGCCCACCTGTTCGTTCTAAGGAAGGTTAAAAGACTATTCCAGTAAATGCATAGATAGTACTGCATATCTTGCTTGCTCAGTTTTCTCTTTTTAACTGTGAGGTGCTGGTGACTTTAGCAGAGGGCACAGGGATGGCACTTCTAATTCTTGATAAAAGTATGCAAACATGTATGCCTCTGTCTGCGTTGAAAAAGATCTTGGCATGCAAATATTGCTGTGATGCAAGTAACTTGGATAAAACACGCCTGAAATTCTGCAGAAGGCAGTGACTGTTTTATTGTATTTAATTTTAGTCCCTATAGAATGTTGACGGAAGTCAAATAAAAAGTATCTTGTGCAGAGAAGGAATAATAAGTAGACCAAGATGGAAAAGGGCATGATTTGATTGTTGAAGTATTGCAGCCTGAACACAACTAAAATGTTTAAAAAGAGAAACATCCTAGCAATGCTTACAAAACTAATTCTGTTCTTCCTGGTCATTTTCATAGCACTTAGTTTTATTAACAACACATCAGAAATATCCAAGTGAAATGAAAGTTGTCCTCCTAATTTTTTTATTTATCTTTATAAAATGTTTTGCCCAATTTTTATTGTTTAATAAAATAAATCCTAAAATAAGCCCTTTCTCTCTGAAATGCAGTCATGAGCTGTGCGGCTTCTTGTTTTATGTATGAAAACCAGGGAAGGAGTTAAGTTCACTATGTCTTTCTTTGGCAGCTCCAGATCAAGCATGCTGTGACTGAAGCTGAAATACAGCAGCTGAAAAGAAAGGTAAGAATCAAGGCTGTGAGGACAGCCATAAAATCCTTTGCTTCTCTTGGACACTTGCCAAAATCCATTCTTGAGAATGTTTTCCAGAAAAGCTGCAAGAACTGGCTCTATGGATGTACCTTGTAATAGCTGGACTATTTTTAATAGTGCTGTGCAAAGCATTTGAAATGGGGTGGGCAGAAGAACAAATGAAGGACTTCTCTTTGAATTTTCAAAGCAGCCAACTGGGGGGACATGGGCATGATCTATATTTAGCTTTTGCTCACTGGGTATGGGAGGTTTTGTAAAGTTAAAATGGAATGATTCGGATGTAAGTATGTAAAATGCCACCATGACAATTGTATGAATTCAGTACTATTTTTTCATGGATAATTTTATTGTCTTCATTGTTTTGACTTTCCATCTGAACTGCTAGGATGCTACCAGTTGGAAGCTCTGTCTTGTTATGCCTCCCTTCCTTGTTTCCCACGTCTAGATCTTTTGTCAAACATTGGCAGGCATCTCCTACTTTATTGCTTGAACATTCCTTCTGGCCCATCTGAACTTTGATGGGAATATGTTACGTGCTTTTTCCTGTGCTCTTACTATCTTTGAGATGAGCTATTTCACAAAAAAATGGTTTCTAAAATATAGCTACCATGGCAATAAATAATTGCATTTTTTTTCTTTCCATAACAATTCTGTTGTGTAAGTTGCTAGCTGCTCAATTATAACTTCCTTCACACTGTTTTAAGCTGTAAGACTCTTAAGTCAGCTGGTTTGGTATTAAAAACAGCTGAAGCAAAAATAATCCAGCCTGCAACATACTGTCTACAGCTATTTCAAGTCCTGCTTAGAGTACAAATTTTCCCCTTTCCAATAAAACTAACACCTGTCCATTATCATCTATGTCTGAAAGAAATGTTGCAACTTTTGTATGAGGTTGCTTAAGAAGGAAAATAAGCATAGCACAACATATTTCAACCTAATGTTTTTCAGTTGTTTTTAATTGCAATTTCTACAAACTCCTACCATTTGCCATGATGGCAGATGGACAGAATTTAGGGGGGGGGAGGAGAGCATCAGATTCCAGTTGTCTATTCCTGTTCCATCCTGCCCTATATTACTATTGGGTGTAAATTTGTAAATTTATGTCATTCTGGATTATATTAACCTATCAAGATATGTTTAGATTGCAAATACAGTTGCTGGCTTTGCAAACAATATGAATTTCTCAAGCTTTCATTCCAGTGTAAAGATTTGGAGCTATGGGTGCCTTATGAATAGTTGTTTGATATGTTCTTGGCTTTTGTTGGTTTTGTTTGTCTGGCCTTGATTTCATTAAGATAATTATTTGTTTAGTTATTTATTTTATCCAACACTAAGTGAAATGCATGCAATGCAAGTGTAATTAACTTATCCATTAACACATAACTATTTCCTCTAACATTCTCTATCTTCAGTTACAATCAATTGAACAGGAGAAAGCTCGCTGGCGCATTGAGAAAGCCCAGCTGGAACAGAGCGTAGAAGAAAACAAGGAGCGGATGGAGAAGCTGGAGGGATATTGGATGGAGGCTCAGAACTTGTGCCAGGCTGTGGATGAGCACTTAAAAGAGACCCAGGCCCAGTACCAGACTCTGGAAAGGAAATACAGCAAAGCTAAGCGACTTATTAAGGAATATCAACAGAAGTAAGAACTGGAATGCCAAATCACTTCATAATTCTCAAGCTCCATCTCTTCAGCTCCTGTTTTATCATGCTTACAAAGCCATTTCCCAAAGCTAGAGTCTTTGGATTAGCACTATATCGTTCAGTGGGATTGGTAGGCACATGGAACAGTTACTGAGAATGGGTAGCATGCCCGATCAAGCCACCTATCAAAATAAACATAACTCCAATTGGTTTCTTAAAACATCTTTAGTAGTTGTAATATAATTTTTAAAAATCAAGCTGATAAAGGATGTGAGACAGATAGGAAAAGTAACTAAGCAAAATAACCCTTCCTTCCTTCCTTCCTTCCTTCCTTCCTTCCTTCCTTCCTTCCTTCCTTCCTTCCTTCCTTCCTTCCTTCCTTCCTTCCTTCCTTCCTTCCTTATATGTTATATATGAACCATTTCACACTTTGGGGATTGGTAGTGAGTGGCTTTTCACAGAATATTTGCATTGTAGGCAGAAACTATAGTCTGATTTATATAAGTGGGATGGAATTTGGGGATGAATGAAAAGGCTGATCCATTTCAATAGGTATGAAGGAATTATTATCTACCTACCTACCTACCTACCTACCTACCTACCTACCTACCTACCTACCTACCTACCTCTAGTTTCTTGCAAATAATACAAATAATGCAAGAGAGAAAAAGATACTACTGTTTTTTTCCCAATATATGAATTTTGAAGCATGTTTCATTTATGGTAAAGATTTTTGACACACAGAAAGCATTTAAAATGAAAGTGTCTGTTCTGTTGGGTATATTGAATATACCGATTAGATTTCTTTAAAAGTAGAACATTCCTCTGAGCTAGAGGATTCCAGAATCAAGCATACTTCCTTGAAATATTTGGGTGCAGTTTGCACTACTCTTGCTGAAGTTGCTACTAAATTGCTGTTTTACTTAACAAAAGGGAAAATTATTATTTAAATAGAGACAAATATTTAATTAATTTAAATTTTAATTTTATACTAAATAAAATTTACTTTTCCCATTGGGCCTACTTACCTTTTTGTACTTCCTTTTAGCTTACAGCATGTCATTCAAATGCAAATGTCATTTTTCTGCCTAAAAGAAGTTATGATCCTATGCTAGCATGATGCATCCTTTTTCACCATTGGGTAGTGTCTGCATTTCTGACTTCAGTTTTTAACTTCCACCTCCTTTCTCCACCTGCAGAGAAATTGAGTTCCTCAAGAAAGAGACAGCTCAGCGTCGCATCCAAGAGGAGTCTGAATTGTCTCACAAGGAGGAAGTTGACAAGCTGCAAGAGAAGGTGGGCATCAAGGACAGTGCTGGGAGCTTACTGTAAGCCCAAAAGGAAGGATAAAGAAAGGGATGGAGACGCATGAGAGAACGCTTGCTGTTGGAAGGACATAGCTGTAAATATGAGTACTTGTCAAAAGGTTGACAAATGGGGGAGGAAGAGGGGGGCATGCCAACCTTTCTGAACTCCTTTATTGCTGGGCATGAATGTTTTGATCTTATAGGATTTCATCTGAAGCAATCAATCATTAGTTAAGCATAGATCCTGCAGCTGGGAGGAGAGGGGAAAATCTGGAATCCTTCCAGCTGATTGATAATTGTATCTCATGCCTTTTTCACACAGAATCCTATATTTGCAAATGGAAATTCTTTAACTGTATCTTTCTGAAGCTTCCACCAGAGAACATTTCCATCAGCTATTAAATCTATTGTCCTGCAATGTGAGAAACCTATCTGATTTTACATCAGCTTATCAGATTCCATATAGATCTCTAGGATTCAGTCTTAATTTAGGAATTGTCTTTCTTTGTATACATTTGCTCTGAGTGGGAATTACATACCAGGCCTCACTGATTCTGCAACAGATCTCATGGCCAAATCTATATATGATTTTCTTACTGGGCCATGGGGAGTCTGCCACATCTTGGTTCTTGCATCAAGCAGTATGACCATATCAGATTTGTCAGGGTATTTTCATGCTTCTATATGTTAAATGTTGGTGCACATGCATGCACATTTGTGTGTGTGACTGGCTCTGAGTTTCTGTGATAGGAATGCCTGATATGGGAGCAAAATCAAAGTGAAAACCTTTTCTGTGAGAATCTTGAAAACTCTAACGGCTATTTATTCACTAGCTCCCTCTGCAGTGCATTCTTAGAAATTCAGCCCCTAAAAGCTAACCATTTATGTCTTTTTAAACTGTTCTTCCCTCTTATTCACTATCCTAACTGTGATCATGGAAATAGCTACATAGATTATTAGTTATAAATGAAAAGAGCAAAGTTCACAGGTATAAAAGCAGAAGTTATCAGAAGTCAGCATTACTTTATTTGAAGGAATTAAATCTTAGTTTTACATAGATTCATGCAATATTTTTATTCCTGGGCTGCCAGATGGAAAAATAACAGAATTGGGGAACATTTGCTATGATTATGGCTGGACAAAGTAAGAGTATGACCTTGGGATAGGCCAGGCAAGAATACAAGCTGGTATATTCCAGAGAGAGTTATGATGCGCAAAATAATGATCTGGTCTGGAAGTGCACCTGTGTGATAGATAGGTTCTTTTTTTTAATTCCTGTTTTCTGCTGCGATATTCAGACTTAGGGCTTAGATAAATCATAGATTTATGGGCAGAGAAGACTAGTTATGCTTAGTTATGTTAGATCTTCCTTCTTTTACAAAGTCTACTTGAGGGTACATTCTCTGACCATTTTTGAAATCTCAACACTCTAACCTTTATTTAACAAATTTAAGCATTACAGACCATTATTATGAAAAGTACAAGATTGCACTATAATTCCATTCCTTTTTTAAGGAGTTTAACCTTTATTCAAGCCACAAAGTCAAGGGTTTAGCTCTGTTTTCCCAGTGATTGCTCCCATGATGTTCTCTTTTCTCCCAAACAGTTCTTTCATCATCATCGCTCCATTGATTTCTCCTTGACCTGCTCCCGATGTATGTTGCTGATCAACATTTTTTTCTTGCCTTCTCTGTTTTGGCACAGCCTCTAATTGTTCACAAGGTTTCTAAAACAAGTACCTTGATGGACAGTGCTGATGGAATTGGGCAGCCTATAAATAAATAAAGGACACGATGGCAGAGGTTTTGGGACAAATGTTAGAAAGGAAGAATAGCCAAAACTGAGTTTCCAAAGATGTTGAATCTGTTTACCCACTGCAGTAATGTTTCTAAGACAATAGTTTTGTGATTGTCAAGTCCAAGCTTGACTTTGTGATGTTGTCTTTCATTGACATGCAAAAAATCAAGGATTATAGGCGTAGTCCAACATCTAGATATCCATAGGTTCCCTACTACTTAAGCTTTAATTGAAATAGTTGTTCATTTATTCCAGAAGAAAGCAAACCATGGTTCGTAAAGTGTACACATACCTTAAGCCCCATTTTTGAGGCTCTTCAGAGCTTTTCTCCAGGACTGTGATATTTGGCAGCAAGGTTGCATTTTTTCCTTTGTTAATTAGGAATAGCTTTAAACCAGATTCTGTATTTTTTTTTTTAAAAAAGGACCTCTTTCTTTCTAAGATGAGAATTTTTTTTTACCAAGTCTAACTTAGGGAGCCCATTGCCTATATAGGTACCTCCATTTTTTTTTAATCAATTGAAGTTTTTCATATTCTTCAGAGTAGTATTACTGCATTGTAGTAATCTAAATACAATATAATTGAAGCACTGGTAAATGTTGCTAAATTACACCAATTCAGGAAAGTTTGTTTCTAATGCCAAAAATATAGTTGTGTAAATGTGTTGCTTCTCATCTTTACTGCCTAAAGATCTGTGGTTACCATTGAATCAGCTAGATGGCCAAGCCACAGATCTTTTGTGGATTTAGATAGTACAGCCACTTCTTTTAATAGATAGAATTCCTATCCCCAAGTGTGGCCCCCATATACCAGTAATCCATTATTATTGTCAAGGATTTACATACATCCTCTCGCATATAACAGTGAATGACCTGAAAGCATAATTGAACTATTATGGGAGGTAAGTCTATTTTTTTATTTTAGTAGGGGCTCATTTCTTCTCTTTCTATTGTTGAAAAAGAAACAGAGTCATCTGGAAATTTCTATGTCATGTGTATAATATGCAGTCCTGCAATTTTTTCTAATTCATGCCTTCAACCCCAGTCAGCATGTTTAGTAATGAGGAGTATTGGGAAGGTAATTCAACAAACTATAAAGAACTTGATGTATAGCAGTGCAACAGGGAATGAAAATAATATGAAAAGGGATTACAGACCTAAGCCACTTGAAATCTGCAGTAAAAGAGGTCTCCTAATTTGTATTTATATACATTTTATCATTATCCTTACTGTCCTTCACTGCCCTTAATTATTTTTTCTCACCATTTTTTCCTTTAGCCATTTCCTATTGTTATCTATGACTCTGAGCCAGCCGGACTATTGCTGTCTCCAGCCACATTATCTGCATTTCTTTCCTAAGTCCTCCTACCTCTTCCCCATCCCAAACACTCCTTACTCTGTCTGGAGAATTTCTCTTTATCCCTTTCTATTATGTGTTTTTCAGATCTCTGAACTGGAGGCGAAGCTGCAGACTTTGAAAAATTCCAACCCGACTTAAAAAAAGAGTGAGAGAGCAGAAAAACATATAAACCAACAGAGAAATTAATTCATCTTATTATTAACTATTATTACTATTATTCGCAAGGGAAATCTTTAGAATTTTCTTCCATCCATGCCCAGTCTTTATTCTTCCTCATCCTATGCCTCGTTCCCTTTATTTTACTGCAGGGAAAATACTGTAAAGCCCAACATGTCAGAAGAACTACTACAACAAAAGTAGTAAATGACCTTGCCGTCTGTTGAGTATGAGGCTGTGAAAGACCAGGTGGGGTGGTGAAATTCTAGATGGACTGCAGAGACACAACCCTCCTCTTGATGGTGATGAATCATTGTCAGTTTCTGTGTCCGGTGTGCGTCTTGTGTCAACTGGAGAAACAGACCATGGAGGGCGGGGAGGTGGTCATTGTGTCCAGTGATTTGTGTCTTCTGTCCCATCTGCCTGATGAGAATCTTTATGGATTGGGACTGATGCCCCATGTCTATACATTAACTTGTTGGCTCTTCAGTTGTGCAGGCAACAAACTAGAACATAGAAAAACTCTGCTGGTGACAAATAAGACCAGCGGTTTTCATTTTGCTTCCTGAATCTTAATCCTTCGACATGGTTGGGGTGAAGGGTGGGACCCTTGTCTAGCTTTGAGATGGGAAGATTTTTAATTTTCCATCGTTTGGACAACTTGGAATCCATTGTTCTCTTATGTTTTGTGGGTGGGAACTAAATCGGTTTTCTAACGAGTGAGCCAGCAGGAGGTTTTGTTGGCCATCTTTGGGACATCCCTGCTGACATCTGAAAAAACATCACAATTGACTTTTACATCAGGGAAGAAATATCAGCCAGTTTTTCTTTTTCTCATTACATTTTATTCATATTTTGGAAGATTCCTGGGAATCTACATTCTGGAGACTAACAAACTGGACTCTCCCAAAGGACTTGAGGGTTCAGGCATAATTGCTAAGAGCAAATATATCAAGGCAGCTGTAGCCAGGAAATGAAGCCAGAAACTTTAGGAAAACGTGGAACTGCCATTCTCTATTTGCATCTCCAAAAGCCACCAGTTTGTGTTGGATCCATCTCACTACTGTCAGCATCAGGGTTTGCTGGGGAAATTGGAATCTGGAACTAATTAGGAGCAAAAACGTGAAAACAAAGCCCTGGTGGTCAAAAGCAAAGTGTACAATGAATCTTGTCTTTTTAATTTAATGGTAAGGGATATTGCCTTTTGTTTTCATTCATTACATCATTCCCAGGTCTGCACAGATCCATTTAGTGCTGGGATTTAGAGTTCCCCTCTCTTGTTGGCATACTGCACTCCCTGGTAGTGATACAATGTCATGTGTTGCACATGTTACCCTGTCAGTATCTTAACTTCAACATATTTCGTTTCTGAAGGAACAAATAGTGTAGACAGTAACCACAGAAAGGTCCAAAATGCTATAACACCTTAGCTGCCTGGGAGATCTTATGCCACAGAAGTTTTGAGTTACATCAGATGCTGCTGGTGGTTTACAAAAGCTGTCCAAGGTGCCACAGGACTTCAACTTTTTTTTGCCTCCTACCCATTTCCCTCTATATAATGAAGCAAAGCGGAATGCTGTAGTTGTTATTCTATGTTCCTGCATGCTTATGAGTCATGAGCTAGGGAGCAATATTCCAAAAAGCTATTCATTCAGAATCACAATATTACACCACAGAAAAGAGCATTTCCATGGAATAGCAAGTCCTTACAAGCGCCACAAGTCTTGAAATCTGTATTCCATCAGTTTCATGGTCAGTTTATAAGCTACACAATGTTAGTGTCAAGGATATATGTAACAGAGTAATGGCCAATGTTTTATGCAGGGATAATATTAAAAGGGAGTAAAGAAAAAAGAAGATATGTTGTGAGGTATAGCATGCGGAAACTCAAGAAGGATCTCCAAAAATGTTTTCTCTGTTAATGGTCTTGGTTCACACAATATACCAAGCCATACTGTAGTTTGTTCGACATTTACCATGTGCAAATCCAGCACAATTGAAGCTTAGTCAATCAACTACAGTAAACCTACCACAGTGTACATGATGTGAGAAACTAGATGTGTCTATCCTTGTTACTTTCTTAGACAGAACTTTTCTTGTTAGTTATTTAGACCCATTCTTTGCCTGGATTTTAGCTGAATGTTGTATTATTTTAATTTTTAAACATGCACCAATAATCAAGTCCCCATATAAGATCTTGCATATAAAGTAAGCTCATGAAAAACATGGAAGTTCCTTCTCTTGCTGGTGTTCTCCATCTGTGGAGTTATAATTCGCATGGTTTCAAGCCAGCAGATGAGCATTGTAGTTCTGCACACCCAGAAGATACCAGGTTGGCAAAACTTACAGAAACAACTGTTTTAGATTGTTTTATCTTTTTGTTTTAAAATATATAATGTAAAAAGGGGGGTTCAAATCAATTTCTCTCATCCAATCATAGCACAACCTATTGCGTGATACCAGGCTCCTGGGGATATTAAGTCTTTTGACAGTATTTTTAATAGCATTGTTAATGTGCACTCAGAATTATTTAATATCTTCTATGAGAAGTAGCAATAGTATATTTTGTAAAGTCGTTGCTAGAAAAGTAACTTTTTTGTCAAAAAGAACAGAGCTATGCCACTTCAAAAGGTTGGAATTAATTATTTTAAAATAATATTTTGTCAGGAAGAGTCTGGATGGTTTCCTTTAGAATTGTTATGTTCTGACCCACATGTGCTCATGTACTTTTCATTGTGGGAAAGAAGATCCCAGGATATTTTTTCCTATAATTTGAGAGAGCTTTTCTTGGATTAATACTGCTATAGAAAAAAGATACCGTAGCACTCAGATAGAGACTGAATATCAGGGTCAACATTATAGAAGTTGGTTTATTTTGAAGGATGATAACTTATTTCACTTATTTCTCCAGGACCCACCTAGGAATTTCCAGATCCCATAATGAGGGTGTGTAGTTTATTTGTGATAAAAGTCATTCATTTATCCTTCATAATTTGCAATTCAAAGATTTGATGGGTGAAAACTGTTCACATATGAGTATTCAAGAAGATCACTTCCCAGAATTAGAAACTTTTCATATTTTCGTGATTCATTTATATACTCACATTGCTCAAACAGTGACAGTTTGCTGGGTTATTTTCCAAGTTTAATTTATACCTGGACTGGATATTCTATCCACATGCCATGATTTATGAGTAAGGAACTTCAGTTTGACAAATATTTTGGATTCAGTAATCAAAAATTAAAAAGTGAAAGTCCAAGACTTTATCCTAGAAGTGAGGAATTAAAGTATTTGGGAAGGGCACTTCCCTTGGTCCTCTACATTGAAAGGGTCACATTGTAAATGCTCTCACATTTACATATCCTAAAGCTCATTGCTCTTGAAGCTGAAGCCATCATATTGTATGTTCAGGCACATATAACGAGAGTATGCATTTTAGTGCTCTTAAATTGCTCAAAAGGTTATTGCAAGTCTAGTTCAGCCAATTTACAGCCTCAGTCCCATTTACATGTTATATTTGTTGCAGCACATTTTCCATCAACTGCTGGGGTGATAATTTGTCTGATACTTGAAGGATCCAGGTTCGGTAGGAACTTACATGTGTATGATTCAGTGATGTCATTCAAAATAACACGTCGTATACTATGTTCTCTTTATGCATACAGATGGAAGAAGTTGCAGAAATAGCCACAACAGGAGAAATTGTGCCCTTCTCCTAATAACATGGGAATTCCCATACATACAAAATGAAAACCATGGGAAGTAGCTCGAAAAGACTCTCCTTCATCTCCATACTGGATTACAGCAGATTAAGTAGATCTGCATCCAGCAAGATAGTATAAAAGATACACAAAATGTTCTAACTGGATGAAAGGTGGACAGGGAATTGTAATCTTCTGAAAAGCAGATCAGATTTAAAAGAAAACATCTTAAATTTAATCTCACAAATATAAATGTATATGTATATAATATATATATATATATGTATGTATGTATGTACGTACGTATTGTTCCTGGTTTTGTATTCCAATTGTCCTACCATCTGGTCATATAAATAGCAAGTTTTTGTTTCCAACCCTGTTCAGTTTTTCAAACATTGCAGGGGAGGAACTTGCATGAATGCACTTGGCTGATGTAGCTAAAAATGTTCTTCTAGAGAATCATTATAGAAGAGCAAGAGGAAATTTTTGTATAGATAAGTGGATAGGATGTAACCCATCAATGAGGATTCAAATATAAAATCCTCTTTTCATTGTGATGTTGGCCTTTTTTCTTCTCTGTTTCTTGAACAAAAACTATTTAATCCATCGCCCAATAAGATAGCCAAGTATGGAAAGCTGGCATGGAATGCACTTTTATGTATGCAATGTTTGCATACAAATGGATGACTGCTCCAGAAATTCATACACTGAGAGATATTAACATGATTTGAAGATGGGATTGTATAACTTCCATTAAAGTCCATTAATGCCTTTTATAGACCTCACTTTTGGATTGCAGAAGAAATGAGATATGAAAATATCAAGGCAGATTAATGTTATAAAAGTCAAATGAAAGTAGCAGCTTAGGGAGGAGAGTTGCACTTTCTTTAAAAATTGTTTTGCATCTGAGAGTCATTGTTGGAACACAGCAGTGATACAGTGATGTTTCTGAATGAGGTGGCATTGGAATGTTCACCCCCTGTAGGGAAATTGGGTGTAAGTTTGTTGTTGCTTTTAAAGCAGAACAGCTTCTTTAAGCCTATCAGATTTCACAAATGGCTATTTACTTTTTTAAATGCAAAAAAACAGCAACATTCCATTGTAATTCAACAATTTGCCACAAAAATTTGTCAAAAAGTGCAAATAAAAAAGGTGCAAGCTACATGTGATTTTATGGGCTAGAAATTGCCCATTCCTGTGCACCAGGACAATCTAAGAACAAGTGAAGACCTCAAAAAAAGGAGAGGGTATATTTGATTCAGAATTGAACTGTGTGATTCACTTAACTATTTTGTATTTCGCCTTGATATATTCATGGAGAGGCCAGTCAACGTCACTGGGATTGAAAATGTTTGGTTGGGGCTCAGAAACCATGCCTTCAAATAGAACAAAAGTTTACTACATCAGAAAGTCACAATAAAAAGAACAAGGTTATCAAAATTGGAGGTAAAAAGTGGAAACAAGCATGAAATGTATTAGATTTTTACCCTGCCTTCATTACTTTATAATTGACTCAAAAGTGGCAAATGTATATAATACTCCTTCCTTCTCTTTTCCCCCACAAAAATAGTTCTGTGAGGTGGGTTGGGCTGAGAGAATGACTGGCCCAAGGTCACCCTTGAACCAGTCATTCATGCCTAAAGCAGAATGAGAACTCACAATCTCCTGAATTCTAGACCAGTATCTTCACCATTACACCAAATTTTTTTTTAAAAAATTATTTTGGGTTTAAACTACAGGTTTGGGGTGAAAATGCAGTTTGCCATTTGTGTTTCTAGGCTGTTGCCGTGCAAAATAGTATTGCGAGGGGTCCTTGGTGCTCTCTGCACTTGGTTGTTTCCTTGCTAGTCACAAGCATTGATGTTACCTAGTTTGGGTAACGAAGCATCTGCAAGAAAACAATAAAGCTCAGAGAGCATCAAAGATTCCTCACTTCAACCCTGAGCTGCAAATATTCTCCTTTAAAGTAATATTGCAAATGTATATTTCCAAGACTTGGTTGATTCACTATTAAAAACAAGTGTTTGGCTTGATATTGGAAGACCTGAAGTACTTAGTCTAATGTGTATATTAATAAAAGCTAATTGATCTGCACTTCTAATAGCAAACTCTGGTAATGGTGCTGATGACTGTAGTGAAATGGCGATGAGGAAACCAGTCATTTTAGAAGAAGCATGTTATGAGATGGGTGTGAGGAAACAGCCCAATAAGGATGGGGAGGTGCTCATTGGCTACAAAAAATATGAGTGAGAATAGAATGGGGCACTCTGGAATGGACATGGTTACCTGGCAGGAATTGTTGCCAAATTGCAAAATTCACTTGCAGCTGTTCTTGTAGTGATATACTATTTAAACTACAGCTATATATGATCCATTCTCCTGAGATAAATGATACAAGTAGTCCTTGACTTATAACCATTCATTTAGCAACTGTTAGAAGTTAAAATAACATTGAAAAAAAGAGACTTACAACCAATCCTCGCACATATTATTCTAGCATCCTCATAGTCATATGATCAAAATTCACTTATTTGGCAAACAGCATGTATGTACTATGGCTCCAATGTTCAGGGGTCATATGGTCACCATTTGTGACCTTCACAACAAGCTCCAATAAGCAAAGTCAATGGGTGAAGCCGGATTTACTTAGTGTTTGTGTGACTCATTTAACTTGCCATGGCAAAAAAAACGATATGCAACTCATTAATCAGTCACTTTGCTTAGTAACAAGAATTCTGATGCCAATTGCAACTGCAAATCAAGAACTACCTGTAAATGAACTGTTTAGATGATTGTTGGAGATGAGTCGCTAAAAATAAAGGAAGATCCATCATATGAAAACAGATGACAAGTCTGTTGACCTATACAGAATTCTACATAAGTGTAGATAATACAGTATGTATGCTAAAATAGTGTGGTGCCCATTGAAGTCTTGACTTCAGCCCTCATAATTCCTTGCCCTTAGTCATACTAGTCATTGGGAATACTACAGGCTTAAATCAATTGTGATTTATTCAGTAATTTAGTACCACAGACTTGCTCTACCAGGCGGTTAATTAATAGCACCATCTCTTTGAATCCAAGCATATATTCTAAAAAATAAAACTCAATGAACACCTTAGAATGTATTCCGACTTCAATAGTGCAGTTTTGGTGGCTTAACTAATTACATTGGTTTGGGAAAAGAACGCATCTTGTATTAATGAGTCCTGATCTTTAGACGTGCTTTTGCCAGTCAAATTTCATCTCGTTGATACATTTGGAAAGCTAAGACCTTGGGGGTAGGGTACTCAAAAGGATTTCCACAACCCCTCCTTTAAAAACCAATTGCAGAATGATAGTTCCCCAATCTCTTTTCTTTTTCTTTCAATATAGAGAAATAGATATTACAGTATTTGTATTAGGGACAAGCAGCCCTGCTTTATAGTGAATCACAATATAGGACCCTTTTAATAAATACAATTCGTGACTGGCTTGTCTCTCCAAATGTGGAGAACCTTTCTAAAGCTCAATGAGTTCAGTTGATGAAATTCTTGTAAGCCGATCCCCTTTTTTTCATTATATCTTGCTAAAGAAACTAGGAGAAGAATCTATTTCTTAGAAACATAGAAAACTGACAGCAGAAAAAGACCTAGTGGTCCATCAAGTCTGCCCTTTCAGTTTTTTCTTTTTAAAGTATTTATTATCTTTATGTTCTACCTTATTTTTTAATTTGTCAGGTGATGGGCATGTGTTTATCCCAAGCACATTTCACTCAGTTATGATGACTGACCCACCATTGCCACTGAAATTTAGTTCCAAGTTTCCACTACTCTTTATGTGCATTTCTTTTCCACAGATATAAATTTGACATAATTTGAAATACCTTTTCTTGAAGTGGAAAATAAGTACATAAATAGATCTAATATCTATGTAAACTACTCTCCCCATCCTCTAACAGCACATCCATATTGGCTGAGGAAGATGAGAGTTTGAGATACGGGCTAATTAATCCTGAGAAATCCAGGAGCTAATGAAAAAGTTCTATATTTCACACACTGCACAAACACAATTCTCAGAAAGTTTGATCAGCTGCAGGCATATATTTAGAATTTGTCTACATGCAATACTGTTAAAGCAACTTTGCTATTGATGCGCTATGGATGCTTTCCAAAGAATAGTTCCAAAGAAACTGAGCAAAATTCAACCTTCCATTCCGTTTTAAATGTCTTCAGTCAGAACTGAAGAAGCTTCTTGGGTGAGAACGAAATATCTCTGAGGAAAAAACAAAGTCTAGTTGCCTTTTGAAAAATCATCTTTGGGACATTCCAATTTAACTATGCTATTCCTGTAAATAAGAGAAGCCACACCTAAGGTAAAAGGAATAAGGGGACTGCAACCACTACCGTGCGATTAGGGAAGGAGTTGGATGGTCATTTGAGCTAGCCTCCCTGATTATAGTAAGCATTTATAGTTACTGCATTCCCAACAAATGGCTAGGATGTCCTATCTCGGTTGAAAAATCTCCATCAAGAGAGAGCCCATCTTCTCAAACAACTCCAAATCCCAATAGCGATTTTGGGAAATTACCCACCTCTAAAAGTAAACAAAGAAAAGGTACATCTGAGAAAAGAACATACGGGTTCTGAACAGATATGGAAGAATTACATCAAAATCAAACTGATTTAAACAACTAGAATCATGACGCACAGCTTGATACTGCAAGCCATGTGATCCCCAAATCCTCAAGGGCAGCCCAGAGTTTCTGCTAAAACAAAATGTTTAATGTGATTCAAAGGGAAATTTATTAAATTCTTTTGTTCATTCAATTTATATAGTTGCTCATCTCAAAGAAGTGACTATGATGAATGATCATAAAAACAATTAAAACACAGCACAGAAAAGCAAATAACAGGTGAGATATTATAAACTATACCTAATCAAGAAACAGACTGAGCCTTCACATGCTCAGGATCCCAGGCCAGAGCCATAGCACAGGTCTTCAGGAGGGAAGGTAGCAGAAGAACCTGTGCTATAGCAGAAAAGATGTACCTTCTGGTCCTCACCAGCCGACATTCCTTTCTGGAAAAAGATTGCTATTTCTTAAATGAATAGGTGATATCTTACTATACAGCAAAGCATTAGCCTCAAGCCTAGTCTGTAATTACAACAATACCCCTGGCCCTCAAGTAGACCATACAGGCAATCTTAAAAACTTAAGTTTAGCCCTGTGCTTTATTCCCCTTCTAGTACATAAAGTGTTTTATGATTGACTAAATGCAACATGGCAACCATTTAATATGGGCAGGGGAATTCTGGAAGCTGAAGTCTATTCATCTTAAAACTACCAAGGTTGAGAAATACTGATTTAATGAAATAAATCACAACATGCCTTCAAAACTCCAAATATGTAGATTGTCACAAAAAAGCTGGGAAATCTTGATTTATGATACACACATATCTGATTGGATAGACATTTATCAACAGTGTTTTAAAATGACTTTCTAAATGAGAAAGGAGTTGGATTTTATTACTTCAATGCTACTGTTTATTTATCTAGAGCTATTTATCTGTGAGCAACAGTGCTTCCCTGTATGATGATTAGCAATATCCTAGAAGATATGTTACATTATAAAATGATCTTATTTATTTGGATAACCAGTTACAATGGAGTGGATACAGATTTGAATATACATAGGAAACACCCTGTTATTGATATCCAATTTGAATCGTGTTGTTGACCATATCTGTAATGTGTGTGCATTGTCTTTCTAATATTAATTATCTCTATCATTTCAGTGTTATTAAAATAAATCTTTGTAAGAAGTAGAATTCACAAAACTATAAAACTCTGATATACACTATGACTTAAAAATGAATACTTTTGATCCATTAGCACTCACCATACAATTTTTAAAAAATGAAATAGCTGTATTCTACTATGTAATAAAATGGCTATATATTACTAAGAAGTTCAACTTCTATTGGTGTGAAGTCTGCATCTATTGTAAAAGCAGTCAGGGGTACAATTCATTTTGGGAACAGGCTTCATAAGGACTGAAATAGGCAATATCTGTAAATGTTAAAGTAGCCTTTGGTTAACTAATCTTCTCAAATGTAAAAGTACACAAAAAAGTCCAAGCTTTTAATCATCCATTCCAGGGGGAAAGAGCAAAACATATGTTGGCTATATAGTCCATGCCCCATCACTTCTATCACCCAGCTGCACTGTTTATGCCATAAGATATGACCTGACTGTATTAAAAGAGAATTCTGTTAAACAAAAAAAATTAATTGTTTTTAAATTACATACATTCACTCAGAGTGTCTGGGCAACCACCTATTGGAGAAATTTTAATCTGTATTCTTAAGAGTTAGCATCTAAGAATGCTTTCTCTCTTTTTAATCCTATTTTATAAATTCAACCCAAGTTAGCAGAACAAAATTTCTGGAGCTGTCCATTCAGCACCAAGCTCTCTTTTGAACAAATCCTGCTGTCATCTCAAAAGAACCCATTTTGTTTATTCCTATGAGCCAATTCTTATAACACGGATTTGGAAAGATGGGTTAAACATCTGTCAGGAGGAGTTTATATATTACTATTTCTTTCGACTGAAATGGGAATGCAAGGAAATCATCCCAGGAGAGGATAAACTGAGGGAAAAATTGTCCTACAGAGAAGAGTTTTAAGAGATCTATTAATTTAAAGTACTAGTATTGTATGCAGTTTTATTTCTGAGTTGCTTAGATTTATACTTCATGGTTCAAAGATGCCAAACACAGGTTGAATCAAACTTAATGCAAAACAAAACAAGGGCAATTTTTTTTCATGTCAAACCAGTGTTATACTGAGAATTTGAAGTACATTTGAGAATGTATTTATTTATTCCACACATTTATAAGGGTGCCCAAATTCTAGTCTTCTTATTATTATTCCCCAAAATGGGTAATCACAGCTAATTCTTTAGCTGATGTTGGCCTTTATATACACTAAGTTCTTCCCAAGAACTTAGGAGTCATAGTGTATGGGCAGAGAGTATGTGTGGATCCAAGCAATGTGCCCCTTTTTAACTGAGTGATGGCAATTGTTGTTATTTAAATTTATATGCTGCCTAAGACCCAGCCAGTTAAACAGTATGACTCATGCAACAGATAATGCAGCATACAACTTCAACCAAAAGAACACCATCGTTTTAAAAACAACATTTCCCAAATAGGATAATTAAACAACTAAACAGGACTCCACTCAACTAGACCCAGGTTGCTGAGGAAAAAGCTTGGTCTTGGTGGCTTTTCTAAAGGCCACTAAGTTGACATACATGGACTACACACATCTGGAATTAAAACTACCTTTAACAATCAAAATGTTGGCTTTACTGATGACAATAGACTCTTAGAATATAAAACCATGATTTATTCAACTAAACGTACATACTTTTTAATACTTGGTAACATGATCTATTGTATATTAAACTAAAATCCTTCCTCTCTTCCCAGGATGGGAGACTGCATAGATCTCTGCTCCGTTTTTATAAGACTAAATAGGTTGTTCATGAGAACTGAGCAGGAATTGTATAAACTTTGCAACATATAGCCAATCCCAGTTTAATGTCATATGAAAAATATATAATAGCTGCTATGGTCCAGAGTTGTTATGGTAGTATTACCTAACTTAATTCCCTCCAGAATTAATTTTGAAATGTCTAGAATTCCTAATAGTCATGATGCCTAGAATTTTGGAGCATATAGTTCTCATAATTCTGGAAGCACCAAGTTGGAGAAGACCACTGTAGAGACTAGGCCATGGATTTATTCTGCGGTTGCTTTCCTAAGCTAGTGCATATCAACTGCATATCAAGTGGATATCAAGCTAGTGGGTATCAACTATAATAGGGAGAAGAAACTATGACACTACAAATGTCCCTGAATTTCCAAAACAGTGGCCATAAAAAGGTGAGGAATTTTGGGAGGTTTATTTTAGCAACTTGAGAGGGCCTCAAGTTCCCAGTACACATTTTGGAAATTTTAAGTGATAATAGCTTGAGGACTTAACTAAATAGCAGCTCCAGATGTCAGTAGAATGTTAGGAGAGAAGGCATATTTCAAATGTTTATCCTTTCCTTATAATTTGAACAACAGATCTGCAAATCAGTGTATGTACATTTGTGCATACACTTGGCATTTATTCTCTACCTGCAACTACTGGGCATTTAACAGTATCTGAACATGGGAACTGGCTCTGAATGATATGTTTATGCAGAGATTCTGTGATATTCAATATCTGATGACCATTCACAAGGGAAGAGCGTCACATGATGATGCAATCATCAGGTGATAAAAAGCACTGATGTAAACTAGCCTGAATCTCCAGCTCATCTGTTTATGATATATAAAAACAGTGGCGCTGGGATTCTGTGAAGAAGAAAATAAACTAATAAATTAAACAAATCCTGCTTCTCTGTAAAAAATCTCACCTGACCAATAATTCTGCAGAACTTGAAAGCTGGCAAAAATTTCCATCCCCCTTGTGTTTCTCCTATCAAGACTTTAGATTAAGGAGATGGGCGGGGGGGGGGGAGAGAAACTCTGGGATCGGTCAATAATTGCAGTTTTTGCAGCGTCCTTCTGCCACTTATCCCTCCTCCTCCCGCCCCTTCCACATCCATACCGATCTGTTTGCTCATTATCCTTTCCGGCTGCCTGGAGGGATGCCTGATACCATCAGATCAGACCCAGGCCTCCCGGGAAGTAGAGAAGTCAGGCAGGCAGGCAGGCAGGCTGCCCTAGCCAAAAGCTTCAAGGAGTTTAGAAAAGCAACACCGCGCTTGTGTCTTCTTCCTGCTTCAGTCTCAGCTAAGCTGCTTCCAGCTTTCAATTAATCTCCGCCTCCAATTCTCTGGGACCACTACTTTAATTTAATTTAGGTTAATTTATTTTATTTTATTTTATTTTTATTTTTGGTTTGCTCCTCCCCCTTTTAAATCAGCACCGCAAAGCCTCAAGCTCCACCTCCAAAGGGGAAAAAAAAAAAAAAAAAAAACAGCCCGGATCTGGATGTTTTCGTCCTCTTTTGCTTTACTCTTCTTTTGCTTGATGGTTTTGATTTTGGATGCAGACACTGCAGGAACACGATAACAAGCAGAAGTGTTGAAGGATTCAGAGAGATGATGGGAGAAGATAGAAAGACTTAGAAACTGCAGTGATGAGATCCTTAGATCTCTAGGTTTTTGAAAATGTCTTGGTGCCTCAGGTAAGCCACACTTCTGAATCTCCCACTCTTTCCCTCTTGTGTTTATATGTTAGTTTCAATGCTATAATAAATTTCAGACATTTTTGTAGCTAAGAAAGAGCCTGAGATAAAGAAGAGAGAAGGAGGACAATATCACCCATGAATTACATTTGGGCCTTTAGCTTCAAAAGTGATATTTCCTCCAGTCAACACTAAACTATTCCAGTCTTCCTCATGTTTTGATTTTCTTGTGTTGAAGCTGATCTGTTGCCTTGTGGTTTATCTGTGGTCCCCTGTTAAAGGTTTCTTCCCACTCCATGTTTCTTCCTGATCCCACCTGGAAAGGAGGGTTGCAGAGATTCCTAGAAGTCTGATAGGAAAAGAGAAGGAAACGGATCTACTGGAGGAGATTTCAAAGCAAATCAACAAATGGATAAAAATCAAATAAATAAAAAACAAAATAAAAAACAAATGGATAAAAAAGACCTCCAATGTCCTTTCCAGCTCTATTCTGATTGATCGATCAGGGTTGACTTATTATTATGAAGTAAAGGCAAGGCAGGGGACAGACCGGTACTTTGCTACATTTGAAAGTCCCCACCCTTTGCAGATTGGTGTGTTATAATTTAGCATTCTATCAGTCATTCTTACTATGAAGTCTCCGTCAATTTTTAGTTATATTTGTTATCTTGTGGAAAATAAAATTTCTGTTGAAATGAAGGTAATGTTTTGAACACGAACGACTTATTTCCCTTTGGCACAGTCTCAGTTTTATTTCTCTGCTCAGCTTTATTGGACTTCTTCAACTGCAAGGGATGACTATATTAATCAGCAGGAATCCCACAAAAAAAATCAACAGAGTACTTTCATACTTCTTAATAAACTTACTTAGTTTTGCACTGTTCACTAAATGAAATCCCCGGCTGTGCTTCCAAACCACAGGTTGGTGGGTGGAATTCCATCTCTTCTCTATTCTATTGCCTTTCACCAGGAAGAGATTTTAAACATCCAGTTAATTCTCCCCTTCCCCCCCCCCCTGAATTGGGAAAGAGATGGTGCAGTGACTGCAGTGCTCATGTGGATTGGCATGGGGGAGGGAACCTGGTTTGGAAGTCCAGAGTGGCTTTCTGACATTTGCTTCTTCCTCTCAATCTGCTCTGCAAGGATGTTGTGAACTCAGTAGCAGAAAAGTTCCACAGAAGCTGAGCTGTTTCTTGGACAGCAGCTTGCACTCTTTTGCAAAGAAGACATGGATTAAGCTGATGGGTTTGATGCTATTGTACATGAAGAAGAGAAGAGGGAGTGTAAAGCTAGGCCTTGTGTGTGTTGCTGGCCTATGTATTTCTTTTCTGGCAAGCTTTCTAAAGGATAGGTTTGTCTTCCATTTTCTTTTACCGAATTTTCTTCCTTTCCTCTCTTTATTTTGCTACAAATGTCCCCAAAGCATTTCCTTCCCTGTTTGTCTTTTCTTTTTGCTTCTCTCCCTCTCCAGTGATGCTAGATACCTGGGAGTTTTGAAAGCACTGAAGGCAGGAGAGTATTAGAAATGAAAAAAGCAACAACACCAGGCCATCCTGTTTCCAACTCCTGCCTAAATGGACTTTGGTGGTGGATACATTTGGTAGCAAGAGTGTCTGGATGAAGCCCCAGTTATGTAGGAGATAACAACAAACCATTTCCAGAAACAGGGCAATATCCCATACACATAGACAGTTCTCTATAGAGATATCCACTTGTCTGAATTACATTCACTTACCAATGTTCCAAAGGAAAACTCTCTGCATCGAAACCTGTTCTACACCATTTCTCTCTCTCTCTCTCCCTCTCTCTCTCTCTCTCTCTCTCTCTCTCTCTCTCTCTTACACACAAACACAAAATTTTACTGGCAACTGCAGTAAACATAAATATGAGTATACAACAAGTACTTATAAGAGAGCACCTCTTACTCCATTTTGAGACAATCACAGAGATCCACAAATGATTCCTGTTTGTAAGGATGCACATGGGAATGCTTTGTAGACTTCAGCCTTTTTCTTTTCTGGCTCTGACAAAGCCAGGATGCCCTTGATTCCTCTTGATGATATCCCTCTTTCCTCTGTTTGTCTGTTTTCCATCTTCTTCCAACCCTAATGCACCTCCTGCCCAGGAGATTTCATCTCATTTCTCTAACAGGCAGGCCTAAACAGTGGCTAACATGCAGGCCAGACATGTGAGATCCCCCCCCCCTCCTTTCTCCTCTATATTCCATTTGATCTCCAGCTTTCCCATCAGGCTAAGGAAATGCACAAAGCTTTTGTGTCAGAGAGAGGGGTGGGGTTAGATATGGAAAATTGGCCAGCGGGGTAGCCTGGCTGATGTTAACTGTTGTTTGATGGAATGGAGAGGCTTATCAAGCCACAGTGTCATGCAAATATTAAATGCATTCTGTACAGTACAGAATGAATTTCCACCCCCATACAAGAAAGGAATCAGTGAGCCTCACAGCTTTAAGATTGGTATGTTCCAGCCTTCTTTATTAATATGTTCCAGTCTTATTTGCCTTCCTTTCCCCTCCACTCCCCAATCCACAAAGAAGCAGCATATGGGGTGGGGGTGGTGGGGACATGTGGGGGTAGGTGAGAAATTAAGGGTTGACTTATTTAGATGCCTAAATCAAGGCATTTTCAGAATGGCTGGAGAGCCTTTTATTTTTGCATTGTTTAATTCTGCACTTGCTGGTTTCCAGCTGCACTTGCTGGTTTCTGCTGCTGCTTTTATCCTATCCAAATTACTAAGCTGATTTAGTAAGAATTTCTCATTGTTATTTACATTTTATGTTTTCAGTCAGCCGGTATCCCACAAAGATTTCTATGAAACCTGTACTCAGGAATTATTTTCCATTGGTTTCTAAGTTTTGATTCAGTGCTAGAGTTTTCAGGAAACTTTAAAAAAAACTTTTAATGTTAATATTTTGCCAGTCACTAAGGGATTTTTTTAGTGTTATACAATTATGGCACTTTGTTATAAATAATGTAAGGACTTTTTTTTTTACAATGGAAATGTAGGCTACAAATATTGTAAAATAAGTAACTCTAGATTATTTGATAGCCTGTCCAAACTCAAATAAAGCATATAATAGAGATTCTCCCTCTCTCTCTTTCACACACGCACATACACATATTAATCCTTTACAACTGATCATGAAAAATTCCTAAGTATTCACATACTTATATAATTGTTTACAAGAAAATTCAGTGGGAAACCACACTACTTGGACAGGCACCACCATTTGGGCAGGCAGAAATTGATGGTAAATTTCAGCAGTTATGCATAAAAAGTGTACTTAAAGTCATGTACAGCATTTAGACTATAAATTACCCTCCCTTGCTGTAATTGAAGCTTTTTTTTTGTTTAAACATAGATTAAAGAAAAAATACCCTATAAATAGAGAACAGCCTGTTGCAAGCGCCTGTCAATGATCAGCCTCTAGGCTGAAGCTTCCTGATGGGAAAACTATTGATTATTTGTTACATTTATGTCTTTCTGTATCCTCTTTTTGGGGACATGTGAGGCCACCGTTCATCCCAGAGATGGAGTGTTTACAGCCTCGAGGTCAGATACAGACCTATGGGTTTTTTCTAAAGTTTTTGGCTAGAAATGGTACCCTTATCCTCACACATAAACTACTTTGTAGGATTATTTTCAGTCTGTCCATTGGGGCCACAAACAAGTGAAATGAACCTAATGCAACCTTTATATTGAGGCCATCTCCTAATATAAAGCATCAACCAGAGTTGCTGCCTAGTAAACCTTTTTTTAAAAAAAAAACTATAAAATTTTGACAATAAATTGTTTTATAATTGTAATTTATTTATTTTTCAGTGTTAAGAAACAAATTTCATTCAAAGGTTTAGGAGAAGTAATGGTTAGTATGGCATTACAAGAGTTGGTCTAAGAATGTATTATTGGAGATGCACCTTTAAACAAAGCAGGGTTTGATCTGTTTCCTGAACTGGGGCAGAATTGCTAATTTTTGGCTTTATTTCTCCATATTCTGGAGTGCATTGAAAGACTCAGTTATGGTTTTTATGTACTTTCTCTCTCTCTATGTTGATCCCTTTACAGATTGACTTCATCATGTCTTCCTCCAAGCTCCAAGATACAGATGAAATATTTGGTAAGTACTGTATGCCTTTCCATCTTCGTGGATCCATCTGTCTTCAATCCAGTGACAGCTTTCTTAGCAGAAATATATGAATCCTACTGAGATCCTTGTTGCAGATAATACTCTGATATCAGGGCTGGAAGGGCAAAAGAGATGCATGAAGTTACTCCAAACCCACATAATTTTCAACCTCCACTCCCAGATGTAAAGGAACATAGGTTTTCAGTGAGGGGGAACAAGATGGAGCAAACAACATCTATATGAAAATGCAGAGATTTGCATAATTGTTTCAGCTATCAGGGTGTAGGTGTGCCATGGTATCATTTGTACAATGATATCAGAGGGTGTGTGCTGTCCTTTTCGGCACAATTGCAGTTTGCTAAAGATGGCACTGTTTGTGAGTTGGTGTGATGGGGGAACTCATAGCATATGATTTGCATAAGCCCAGAGATATTCTCACCATATATCCACTTCATAGAGTCATTTAAAGTTTATGCCAAATTCAGACTGGCAATGGTTTTTCTTGCAGCAGAAGTTTATGAAGAAATCTGGGACCAGCAAGTTAATCATTAGGTAAAGCGATTACTAAGTGAAACCATGACTGTATAGACCTATGAAGGTCATAAATGCAAGAATTGGTCATAAAGTTACTTGTTCATCACCACTGTAAAACAAAGCAGTTGCTAAACAAGGATATCCTGCATTTTGAGGAGGTTTGGGATGAACTGCATCTTTAAGGCAAAGCAGCACTTTTTCACTGAGGTGGAATCACTATGACACTTTCCTCACATACAGCCTAATAGTATTATACCTAGCCCAGGGGTCTGCAACCTTGACAACTTTAAGACTTGTGGACTTCAGCTCCCAGAATTCCTCAGCCAGCATAAGTTGCAGACCCCTGACCTAGCCCAATGTTGTCCAATTTGATTGGCAGAGGCTCAGCTTTGTGGGAGCCGTGCCACAAGAGTTTCTGAAGACTGGATTTGGGCAAGATGGTGAAAAATCATGGGGCTTATTTTTTGTTAGAATTCCACATCTCGTGGGGGCGGGGGGTTAGGCCATATTGCTTGAGATGGCTTAGCTATAATACTTAGCATGCATAATGGCCCTTCCTCCTATTTTTTCCACAATCGCAACAGTATGAGATGGGTTAGATTGAGAGAAATTGACTGGCTCAACCCAGCTAGCTTCCATGCCTGTGGAAAGAGTAGAAATTATAGACTCCAAGTTCCTTGTTGACTATCTTAACCAGTACAACAAAATGGCTCTAATTTTTTGTGGCCTATTCTCCCAATAACCTTTGGGTCAGTATTCTCATAAAGCTCTCTTCCAAAATTCATGTGCTTCAATTCCTGACAAAATTATTGAACAACTGTGCACACTCAAAACTGCATAAGCATTCATTAGACATTATAGAGCTATATAGTTCTCGTGATGTGACCAATTATCTCCATGCTCAACTTAGGAAATAGCTGGAAAGTAAAGAAACCAACCAGTACATTTTGATATTGTTGGCATGACCTTCTGTACTGCCTGCTGGGTATTTTCCATTTCTATACTTTTCAATTCAGCAGGCTGGAGTTTTGAGGGCAGAGGCAGAGAGATTGTATTGGATTTTGGAGGGCACCTTTTAGTCTGTGACCCTGCTTGGAATTATAGCACCGAAAAACATAAATATGTAAGCCATCCAGAATTAGACTTAAGATGGACAGCTGTACAAATAGCTTAAATAAATATATATTCTCTCCTGGGTTGCAGGTGAGGGAACTTGCTTATTTTAAAACAGGTATTTTTTAATTAAAATTTCATAAAGTATATGAAAACAATTTTTTGGGAAACTCACAAACCAGTATAAACATTTTGGAGGACAAAAGGGCAGGGCTCAGTTTAAACAAACAGAACTATTGGGGCTGGTAGAAGTTTTAAAAATATCTGTAATTAAAGTAACTAACAGGTTTTTGGTGAATTTCTGTTAATTGGTTTAAAGGTCCTCTAATTTGGATCTGCTATTTCATAAATACATCCTGATCAAAATTAATATAATTTATGTTGAATTTAGCAAGCTACAAAAACATCGTGATCTTGATTCAAAACTGCAGTTGGTCACTATTATTCAATTAGTAGTCATGTCTGTGAGGCTTTGGCATCGTAACTGAAAGACTTGATGCCAAGAATCAAAGATGTGATTGCAATATTGAATTAAACAGAGAAAAGAAGACAATCATTTCCAATTTTTGTAAAATAATCAGCTGCAATAATACCATTAAATGAACTCCAAGGGCCTTATTTAATTTCAAATCTTCAATTATTTAATCTGTTTTCATTTTGGAGAATGGTTCATTAACACTCACTGTGAATTTCTGGTAAAGGAATGATTTTTAAGAATCTAAAATATAATCTAGTCTGTTTAGATCTCTGTATTAGGACATGTATAATTAAGCATAAAATGGTACGGTGTTTTATTTCTTCAAAAGGTTCCTCCACCTCCATTTATATACAACGTATTCATAGTTCTTCAGAATTACAGGGATTGTGTTGAGCCTATATTTATTAAGGCTTGATAATAGCAGTTGAATTGAACATGGATGCAAACTGGCAGGTGTGGAAGGACAGAGTGCCTGAGCAGATTAAAAGCACCTGTTCCCCTTCCTTCCTCCCTCTCCCTTCTTGGCCCTCCCACATCATCAGGATGACCCAGCAGCCAATCAAACCACAACTGTCAATCAAACCACAGTGTTTGACAGGAGGCAAAAAGGAGAGAAGACAAGATAGCTGCCCTGAAGTACTGGAAGAAGTAAATAAAAAGAGCCAAAGAAAAAGAGTTAAATAAAGAACAAAAATGTCCCATTGAGGAAAAAGCAACAGGAAAGAAGGGAGCAGCTGAAAAACCTGGAGAGAGAGACATTTATTTCATTCACTGTGGTCTGAAATAAAAATTCTTCAGTCTGTTTCCCTCAGATGGAGCAAAGATTCAGAAGAAGAGATGAATCAAGGAAACCAACCAGGAATAAACAAAAAGAAAATATAAGGAAAAAGTAAAGACTTTGACAGAACAGAAATAGAAAGCAGCAAATGAAAAAGAGCTTATAGAAAATAGTTAAAATAAAAAATATTTGACTATTAATTTCTACAATAATTATAAGCGTTTATAATTTACAAATTCATTTTCCTTCTATTTCTAAGCTTTTCTTTTGTAAAGTACATCTCCTTCCCTACCCCCCCCCCCACACCCCATCTCCACTGAAAGAAGGTATAAAACTCAACCAACTGCCAAGTTTTCAGTGCTTTATAGCCATCAAGATTGTTCAATCTATTTATTGGTTTGGTTTTTAAAAAAAAAAAGAAAAAAAAAGAATCCATGACAGCAACTAATTCAGTTCCTGTAACAGAAGTTTACTATAATACATTTCACAGGTTAAATATTTCCAAATGATCTTCAAGACCAGCTCAGTGGAAAGTAAGTTACTGAAGTCCAACCACGAGGTGACAAAGGAATGAGAGATCTTTGCTAATACCTTCTGCTTCTGGAAAGGCTGCAATCAATGCACCAACTAAAGCTGGGTGAGGGTTGTCCTAGCCATGGCCTCCTCCTGTTCTTCCACATGAATCATAAATCTATCAGCACAGCTAGATTGCAAGTTTGCTCTGCCATGAGGAGTAGAACTCCATTCAGAATCAAAGCTGGACCTGTGTGAGAGTCAGCTGGCTTTAGAATCAGCGACAACTCTGGCAGAGGTTAACCTGAGCTTGTTCTGCCCCCCCCCCCTTTAGATCCTAGTAACAAGACTTTCTTTGTATTTACTGTTCAGCTGAGGATGGAGATGCTGTATATAACTGGGTACCATCAGCGTATTGATGATACTTCAGTGCTTGTGGATTATTACTTTAGCAACTTCATGTAAATGTTGAAATTTGAAGTCTTTTGATGTTATACAATCTTTAATCTGGATTACATTTAATTCCAGTAAAAATATGCTATTTTGCTTACTTTCCATCTTTGTGTCCTATGAGATTTACACGTTGTTTTATCTATAGACTAATCAAAGTCAGAGAGCTAGTCTTCATGAGAATGCTTCTAGTTTTGACAATGTGCTTCTATTCTCACTACATGAGATCCTACACAACACCAAGGAGTCCTTCCTTCATTATTAGCTTTTTATTTCCTTCATCATTATATTTTTATTTCTATTTCTTACCCACCTGGAAGCTGCTTTAAAAATGATGGATGTTAATGTAATAATTTAATTAATAACACTCAGAATAAAGCTGAATTGTATTTAGCATAGTAAGCAAGCCAGGTTTACTCTTTCTGAGCTCATGTAACATATTCATACTCTGGCAAGAATACCACAATTTCATTCAGAATAAATCACACAAACCAAAATGAAGCTCGATTCTGCTTTTCTGCCCACTTAGACTACACCTCAGTTATGGCAAATTACTTACACCTGCAAGTTAAGACGCTGGCTCTCACTACCCTTGCCATATTGATGGCCTGGGTATTTTCTTTCGTGGTGATAGATTCAGAAAATCCAGTTGCATTAAGAGGAAAATGGGGCAAGGTATTGACTTATGCCATTTGGCAGGGGATGGAAAAATCTGTTCCTTGATTCTGTGTGAATGAGATAGAGATATAAACAGATTTTCCATTCTCTGCAAAAGTAATGCCTACATTAAGTTTATTCAAATATACCATTCCATGGGATAGCAATATTTGAGAATTTTGCAATTTACATGGAATTCTCAGCATAGATTTAATTTTCTTACATCTGAAACTGATAGCGCAAGAGTTCTCTGGCCAAAAATATTCATAAAGTCTAAATGTTAGTTTTCCAAAATTCAGCAGGTCCTATTTATTTTTCATGCTCACTGCTGTTTGATATTTCATGCCTTTTATTATTAAGGTTCCATATTTTTTTATTCTGTGTGATAAATTAAATAGTAGCTAACTCAATACTCAAAAGATACTGGTACTCAGCTGTACATAGGACTATACATGTGCACACAGAGAAAGATCCCTGAGCGTGCACACAATTTATCTTATCTGAAAGTAACCAGTTTACTTGATTCATTCAGTGCATGGAATGAAATAGTATCTAGGGAAAATGTTCTTGAAATAGTAGGTATATACAGCAAATGATGCAATTGTGTCTCTGCATGTGGGAGAGAATTTGAATACTTAAGAGCTCAGGCTGTGTGTGTGTGTGTGTGTGTGTATAAAAGAGAGGGGGAAAGAGATGTATAATGGTATTATTAATCTATGAATTGTACTGTATCCATGAATAGGAGCTACCCACAAATATGTGTGCAGTGTAACTTACCTGTCACTCTTCTTATCTGTTATAAAAACCACTTTGGAAGGATAAGATGACTGATAACAGAGTAGCACAAGCAAGATGCTTATTTCCTCAACAAAACGTTCAATAAGAAAGAATAAACGAAAGTATTTCTCTGAAATAATTAGGATGTAATTCATCACTTGCTTGCTTGGGAGTAGGCTCTGTTGAATCTTCTAGAAATAGAACAGAACAAAATAACAGAGTTGGAAGAGACCTTGGAGGTCATCTAATCCAACCCCCTGCTCAGGTAGGAAACCCTATTCTATTTCAGACAAATGATTCTCCAGTCTCTTCTTAAAACTTCCAGTGATGGAGCATCCACAACTTCTGGAGACAAGTCATTCTATCCAATATAGAATATGCATTTAGTATAAATGAATACTTGGGTGAGAAGATTACATTACCATCAGTGTTTATTAAAATCAGTTGACATCCAATTGAGAGGTGACTTTCTCAAAATCAGTAAATGTGGCATGTTGTACATTAGTTCATTTAATTTCTCAAAAGAAGTACAATTTGAGATAAAATAGGTCTTGATTGTTCACTTTTTTCCATCTCTTTGGAATTAAAATGTAATGTCTATGTAGCTATATATCATGTAACTTAGCTCTTCAGATTTTGTAGAATTGTATATCTTGGCAGCTCCAGCTTGTGTGGGCAATGGAAAAGAATGCTGGGACATATAATTTAGCAATATTTGAAGGATTATAGGTCCTTCACCTCTGATCTTCCTCTTCTATTTTGAAAACAATGGTATATTGAGATAATTCACATATGACTGGAATAGTGGGACAAAGCAGGCCAAAAGTTGTGATACATTTAATTAGCACATCTGATCTCAGATTCTACATTTTTTATTCAGGTGTAATCCTATCAATTCTGTGTGCTTCATCTGCTGTCTTTTGACTCAGAAAGTTAACTTTTGTAGGGAAAATCCAACCTACCACTCTAAGGCAGAGATTGATCTTTGGCCTGGGAAACATCATATATGTTCCTCATTCTAGCAATATTACACACTGAACTTACAAAGGAGGATACAAATAACTAATATGACAATTTCCATTAGGACCTTGTAAGAGATGCAACTAAAGTCAAGTGCACCATATAGTGAATTTAATACACAACAACTTGTCATCTGGATGTGACCTTGTGTGGAAGAAATCACTATAGGTGGGTGAGCATATGCTTGATGGAGAGCAAGTACCGGTAGGAAGTGTGGAGAAAATTGTCTTGTTGATGCCATTGCTCAATGGTCAAGAATCTCCATGGAATCAGGATCTGTAATACTCCATCAGTCCCATAAGAAGCCTATTTAGTATAATATGCCATCTCCAGGTTCCATTGTATATTTATAAAAGAGGATGCTGAATGCCAGTGTGTTCCTCTCTTCTCTGAACACTCTTTCTGTATCTTCTCTCCCTTTTAACCCCTTCATTCCATTGCTGTCTTCTTTGCGTCTCGCCTGGGGGGTGATTCATTTGAACTGCCTCCTCCTTTTCCTTTTCTTGGCTGCATTTGCCCTGTATGCTGTCTTGTACACTTGTTCCTTTTCTCTGTGCTGTTCTTACTTCTCTCTGCCTTTTCTTTATGATGCCCCCATTTCTCCCATTCTCTCCAACGCTCTTTTTTGCCTGCCCTCTCTTTCTGGCCCCTGCCCCATTCTGCTCCCCTTCCCGTTTCTCTCTTTCACTCCCAGATTTTAATGATGTGATTCCAGAGACCCAGAGGCTGGACAGTAGCTTACAGAAGGCCCGTGCCCAACTCTCAGCCAAGGGCAGGAGACAACGCCCCTCTCGGTCCCGCTTGAGAGATAGTGTCAGCTCAACAGAAGGTGATGATATCCTGGACAAGAAGGTTGGTACCCAGATGCTACTCACTTATATTGCTCAAGATCTATTGATGCAACCAGTTATGATATTTTGTGCATTTCACACTAACAACATTGTTTGTTTGACTTCAGCTTAGCATGTTAAACTAATAATAAAACAAATACAGTGTACTCTTGATGTACCATTTAAAAGAGAAAAGGAATCAGATATTTTAAAAGTACTGTTTTATTATTATTATTATTATTATTATTTTACTCTTTAAAAAAACAAAAATGTGTTTTCAAAAAAATGATTATCTATGAATGAACATATAATTACTGAAAATATACAATTATTACTCAATATAATCATTAGTAATAGCAATAGCATTTAGACTTATATACCGCTTCACAACCCTCTCTAAGCAGTTTACAGAGTCAGCATGTTGCCCCCAACAATCTGGGTCCTCATTTTACCAACCTCGGAAGGATGAAAGGCTGAGTCAACCTTGAGCCTGTGAGAATCGAACTGCCAAACTGCTGGCAGCCGGGAATCATTAGAATTAGCCTGCAGTACTGTATTCTAACCACTGTGCCAGCACAGCTAAAAAGAGTGTATTAAATGAGTTTATGATTTAAAGAAGTGAAAAGTATTGAATTTAATGGCAAAATCTCCACTGTATTCTTGTTTTAAAATGTTTTTAACAAGAAGAAAGGTCTGCTGTTTTTGCAAGGATGTCATGGTATGTGTCCCAATTTTGAAATTGTTGTGGGTTGTTATGGACACAACTGGATGGATAGCTAATTTTAGAACAATCTGTGTACATTTACAGCAAAGGTACTAGAGGTACTAAATAGGAAAACCCCATGATCACTTTCTAGCTTCAACATCTTGAGCTGAATCAGAGCAGAGAGATTATCTGGAGGTTTCATGGCTTTTAAAATAAGTTCCCAAACAGAACCTTTGTGTTCTGCAATCAGTTTCTCTACAGCTGATGGCCATATTCAACAGGGAAAGGTTTTTCAATTTATTTAATATTTTTATATAGTTGATGGGGAGATGGTTTTTATTTATGGATAACGAGCAATCAATAAATGAAACAAGTTTTAAACGTTAAGATACAACAGGCTTAAAAAGCCATGTCACTATTTTAGCTGCCATAATTTGGTCCAGTGGTTAAAAAGCAAGCTAAAACAGGGGACTATGAATTCTAGTCCCATCTTAATCAGGAAAGCTGCCTGGGTGACTTTGGGCCAGTCACCTTCTCTCAGCTCAATTCACAGTACGGGAAAAATAGGAGAAGGAGGATCAGATATGTATGTTGCCTTGAGTTAGTTATAAAAATAAAGACTGGTTAAATAAAATAAATTTACATTTTCCCTAGGTTTTCTTATATTTACCATCTACCATAGAATAAAGAAACCTGCATACACATATACAAATATATACATGCATATGTGTACACATAATAGTTTATTTTAAACATTTGGTTCACACACACATGCAGAGAGAAAGAGAGAGAGAGAGAGAGAGAGAGAGAGAGAAGGATGGCCTAATGCACGGTTGAGAGAGAGAGAGAGAGAGAGAGAGAGAGAGAGAGAGAGAGAAGGATGGCCTAATGCACGGTTGTCAAACTGCTGGCCCGTGGGCCAGATGCGTTATGCTGAAACCGCACCCACCCCATTGCTGGCAATGGCAAAAAAGTCACGATACGTCACGACATGTCATGTGATATTGCGAGTTTGACACATCTGGCCTAAAGGAACCAATGCTGGGAGGGGAGAATATAGATCTGCTGCTCCCCCCACCTGTCTTCCCAAGCATTTTTCCTGGATGCTCCCTTCTTAGAAAAAACAATAGCACTATTCACTATCCAGTTGGTTGGCCCTCTATCCAATAGTCTTTTTATTGGGAGAGCTTCCAAATGATGCCATATGAGACAGTCATGGTGGCTAGCTTTATAGCTGCCACAGCCATCATTTTGAGGTCCCTTTCCTGTGGTTTTGAGGTCCCTTTCCAAAAGCGATATCCTATGTTGAAGTGACATTCTGCTCTGAAGAAGTGCCTGTTTCAGGAGCAATGAGGCAATTATTCTGGGCAGCTCATGGTGCCTTAATCCCTTTCCTGTGGTTTTGAGGTCCCTTTCCAAAAGCGATATCCTATGTTGAAGTGACATTCTGCTCTGAAGAAGTGCCTGTTTCAGGAGCAATGAGGCAATTATTCTGGGCAGCTCATGGTGCCTTAATCAAAAACCTTAGCTTTAAGTAACTGTTTCCTTTGCTTAATCAAAGGGCTAGCTCAGAAGTAAGCTTTGCTATATATAGTACGGATTGCACTCAGGATACAGATAGGTTTTTTTTTTTTTAAAAAAAAAAAAACCTCAGTATTCATTCATTCTTTTTATATACTTCTCTTTCAATATCCATGTGAACATTATCCAGAATGCCTAGTACTTAGAGCATGCTGGCTCCTGTTCAAGAAAATAGAGTGCTGTACTCTCTGCCAAAAATAATGAGTTAGATGATGATAAAGCAATAATAATCAATATATAAAGAGAAAAAGAAAGGAAAGAATAGCAGTGATGGAAAGTAAAGATTGGCCCAGTTGGATTTTGTCTATAATTGCCAGCTGGTCAAGAACATAATGATCATCTAATTTAGTTGAACAAATAATCCATTGGATTATGACAATGTCCTGTGTTACCATTTCTTTTGCCATATGGGAAGCTATGTTATTAAAATATATCACCAGTTGCCAATTCTGCCAACAGCTCAAATGGATGTATTCAGACTATGTTCCCAGGATACCCAGAGACTTGAGAATTCTGGGAAGACACACTGACAGTGCATAGTTTGGGAGAAGTTAATATGTTAGAAATGTATTTCTCAGATAAACTTAATGTTTCTTTCTATGCCTTTCTGAAAGGCATCCTATCCCCTAGGTGTGCTTGGATGAGATTTGTTGGGATGTCTCTGAGATGAACCCATGCAACCTGATCTCTGCTTTCCTCTCCAGGTGGGCGAAGGCTGTGGAAGCCCAATCTATCACCTGAGATCCCCTCTTCATGATTCCCTCCATGCCTCATCATCTCTCCCTGGTTCCTCAGTCTTCACTCGCACCATTGAGTTTTCCTTTGATGCCTCAACAGTACAGAGGTCACTGGAACAGGAAGAGCTTTCCTCCTCTCCTCTCATCCGTTACCGACCACTGACCAACACCCCTTCCCAGGAGGGCTTGGGGAGCACACCCACCAGCTCTTCGCCCAGGTCCTGTCCCAGCTCAGACAGCTCACCCATCTATGCAAGAAGAGAGAGGCATAGTGAAGGTAAAGGCTGACTTAAAACATTTGAAATTGGGGAAGGATAAAAGAAGAGCTAGCAATGCTATAATTGTGAAAAGCAAATTTAGCTCCTTTCAGACCGATTGGATGCAACAGATATTTGGGATTTTGAGTTTAAACCGCTCTGCACCAAAGGTTCTTGCCTGGATGTGAAAGAGAAGCAGCTATTGAAATGTCCTCCTTAGTACTGTTATTAGAAGATAACAGTTCTCTCCTTTCCATATAGTTACTCAGCTTACCTGATAATGCTAAGAGGGTCCCAGTCATCTGTCTCTACTACCCAAAAACACTTGAGTAAGCTCTAGCACCAGTTAAAATGTTAACATTTTTTGAACAATAAAAGTATTTGGAATTCATCTCTCCAAATGGAAGAAAATACATATACATGCTGGCTCCCTTGTGGTTATAATTACAGTTCTATCATATTATGAAATAGGGCACAGCTAGGCCATTTTCAGTCTATATTTAGGTGCACCTGTCCTGAAATCTTTTCCCAAGATGCTGAAGGGCCTTTCTTATTGGTGTCAAGGAAACTATATCTTACATTTTTATTGATTATTGGTTTATTTGTTAACATCTTCTGGGTTTAATTGCATGTTTTGACATGAAATTGCTGGCTGCTGATGCTTTATTGTGGCTGTACAAAAATATATTTAGTAAATAAACAACTAACACATGGACATTTTGTATTTTAATTGTGGGGAAGCAACATATCTCGCCATATGGGAGACTTTAGGGGCAAAGTAAATGCCTTAAGCTTTGTATTTCATCCCTTAAATATATCCAATTCCTCCAATTAGATCTGTTCTTTTCACAAGAGCAAAATCTTCCCCAAATTAAAAAGAAAAAGGAACAAATATATATTTGAACATATCCATTCTGATATTGTCAAGATATTATTGGGTAAGCAATCTGAGGCTCTTGTATTTGGCCCCATATAATTTTTTTAGAATGCCACATTTAACTCTTTAAAGCTTCCCTTCCAACTCCTTCCCACACTTTTATTTTACTGCTTCCTTTCTCATAAAAACTTTGGATTGTTTTCAGTTATAACTTTCATTATATTATTTAGTTATTCTATTTATATAATGTTCTCTAACAAGGATAAGGATGATTGATGAGCCAATAAATCAGTCTTTACTTATCTTGATTGGCTCCAAAGGGATGTGCCAATTACAGAATGTCCAGTTGTGAATGGCAGTTTCACAGGTAGAGAAGAGGAAAAAAAAGTTTTCTCAATGGTCTTCTGAGGAACTATATCTTTCATTAGCTCTGAAGCTGGATACGCATATTGTGTAATGTCTCGTATGTATCCAAACCTGCAGCCTAAATGTTGGAGATGTGGTTGCTCGGATGCTACTTATTATCATATTTGGTGGTCATGTAAAAGTATTAAAGCTTTTTGGATTAAGATATGGTGGAATATTCAAAGAATTTTTAAAAGAAGGATAAAATTTACTCCACAATTGTTTTTGTTGGGTATTGTTTCTGATTGTGATGATAAAGAGATTATTTTAATGTTAAATTTAATTACTGCGGCTAGGTTGTTAATAGGGCAATATTGGAAGAAGAAATTTTTGCCTACTTTGCAAGAATGGTTTTTTAAAGTTTACTACTTAGCGGAAATGGCAAAAATTTCGGCTTTCTTGAAAGATCAATCGCAAGAGAAGTATCTTTCGGTGTGGAAAAGATGGATAAATTTTATACAATATAAGTATGATATAAGAAAATATTATCTAGCTTTTGAATAATTTATATAATTTTAAGATATTATTTAGAAGTGTAATTGTTATTATTCTTTAATTTATTATTTTTTTTATTTCTTTTTATTTTCTTTTTTGTTTTTCCTCTTTTTGTTTTTTATATATAATGGAGCTAAAGTATTTTACAATTTGTTTATTGTGTATAATTATATTTGCTTAAGGTTTATTTGGGTTTAAAACTTTTTTTCTTCTAAGATCTAATTAAGCCTGTATTCAGCTCTGGGAAGAACGGGGGAGGGTTTTGGGGTGGGTTGGGAGGGATTGGGGAAGGGGGTTTTTATTGTAAAATTTTAAAAAAATTTAATTAAAAAAAAAAGACTTTAGCTAACAGTTTCGAGTGAACACAGTGATTTTTCAAAATAAAACACAGATGATGTTTTAGCACAATTGTGGCTTAGTCAATAAATTATGAGTATATAAATTGGCTTGGCACTCTGTGTAAACCCAATCTGAATCGTGTGTGTGTGTGTGTGTGTGTGTGTGTGTGTGTGTGTGTGTATTTTTTGCTATGCTTAAGTGTTATGCAGCAATGATTTCTTTAACATTTGCAAGACCAGAACAAGCACTCAATTCAAATTCACTTCAATAGATCCTATTAAATCTTCCTATAGGCAAGATAGCTTTATGCATGAACATCTCATGGGACTTATTCATGAACTGTAAATTCATTCAGAACTTAGGCTCAGAACCCTTTTTAACCAGATCCAGAGCAGCAGTGAGATGTACCCCCAAGCACATTCAAAATAGAATCTTTCCTAAATAGAATCTCTTGGAATAAAAGACAGACTTTTAATGGCAGGTAGCTCAGTTGTACATTAGGTTGCTCTTTTCTGAAATAAGCCACTGACTCCCTTGCCTCTTTTTCAGATGACAGCAGGGATGCTAGTCCTCCAGAACTGGAAAGCCCCACAATTGGGCTTGACAAAAAAACACGCCGGAAGTTTCTGGATTTGGGGTGAGTCCTAGAGATTGGGCTTAGTAAGAAAAACAATGTACCGTATATGGCCCAAATTATTTTCTTGGAGTTTTTCATATGGTAATTTCTGCTCCTACCACTGTGAGATATCGGGTTTACACAAATACTTCTGTGTGCTTGTAATTGTGTTGCTTCTCTCTTGCAGGGTCACCCTCAGGAGAGCATCTTCTGGAAAAAGCAGAAAAGAGAAGGGAGGCAACCGCCTCTCTGTTGGCAATAGGTAAATGGTTAGGATTTCCCAAAGCTCTTCTCAGTTAAATTCTGGTAGAGCCCTGAAAATAATCTGGAAGACCCAAACCCCTATCAAGGAACAATGCAGATGGCTCACAAAAAGGTATTCTTCAAGAGTACAGCTGTGTTTCTTTGTTCAACCACTTAGGAGAGCAGTTTCCCCATCTAGAATTTTCCCCCTGGAATTTGTACATAAAAGACTGTAGAACAATCAATGACTGTGAATAGGCCTGTACTTTATTTGAAGTATGACAGTTATACAGTCTTCTCCAATGACTAAAAATTAGTACCGGATTTGTTAATATGAGGGTGATGGGCTTCCTCCTACTAATCTCAAAATCTTGGCAAAGGCATCATTTTGTTCCTTTTAAAACCAGCTCTGTTCATTTCTCAACATGGCTTAGGTGACATACAATAAGGGATGTATAAAATTTTAAATTCTAGGAATAGAACATTCCAGATTTTCTTCCAAACCATAGAAATTCTGGAGGTGTGCTGGTTGTTTTCCAGAACAAAATCTTCTGAGGAGAAAAAAAAAGATTGTGATGTAGTCCCCACATTTTTTTTTTTTTTTAGAAAGATCAGTCATCAAATTTACTTCTCAAAAAGTAACAGGCTCCAGAACAATTGGATCAATATGGTCTGGAAGAAACATGGAACATTCTGGCATTCCCCAGAACATTCAATCTCTGGAATGGTACATTTTGCACATTCCAGCTCACGACTTCATTGAAGGAATGATGCATGTAAAATTCACCTCTCGGGGGGGGGGGGGAACGAATAGAAAACTTACTGAGGCCCTTTTCCTTGTTACCTGTCTGACTTGTACAGGGAGTTGATGGAGGGTTCCAGCCGTTCCTCGGGATCGCCCTTCATGCCTTTTTCCTGGTTTACAGACAGTGGAAAAGGCTCAGCCTCTTCAGGGAGCACAGCTTCTCCTACCTCTTCCCCCAAGAACGAGGCCTTCAGCTGCAAGAAATCTGCCTCCCAGGTTTCAAAACCATGTATTAGGGGGGAGAGCTGGAACCTCATAGGGACTATCTGCCAGACGAGGCTAAAATGGGGTTGTGGGAACCAAGGCATTGCCTTAGCCTATTGTGCGAATCAGGGCTTCATATAAAGCCATGATACATTTTATTTCTTGGGGCACATCATGACATATGAACACAGCAGCTGTGTTTTATCTTATGTGGAGACTGCCTTAGAGCTAATGCAATGAGGCTGTTCAATAACAGTACTGAATGGGAACAGGAATGAAGAAGTGGATCTTTTATTTAAAATGTTTTGAAACCATCACTTTTTAAGAGAAAAGCGATTAGACGAGACAGCTCTCTGCTTTTGGCCTATGGGAAGTTTTTTTTTTTTCTTACATTAAAAACTGAAGGGTTGACTTGGATAATTCCCCAGAAGTACAGGTAGTCCTTGACTTATGACCATAATTGAGCTCAAAATTTCTGTTGCTAAACGAAACATTAAGTGAATTTTGCCAGCTTTTTTATGTCCTTTTTTCTGCAGTTGTTAAGTTAGTAACATGGTTGTTAAGAGAATCTGGCTTCCCCACTGATTTTGCTTGTAAGAAGGTTGCAAAAGGGGATCACATGACCTTGAGACAATACAACTGTTCTAAATATGAACCAGTTGTCAAGCATCCGAATCTTGATCAAATAACTGTGGGGATTCTGCAATGGTCATTAAGTGTGAAAAATGGTCATAAGCATTTTTTCAATGCTGTTGTAATTTTGAATGGTCACTAAATGAACTGTTGTAAGGCAAGGACTACCAGTGCAAAATGTTAAGAGGTATGTTTGCTTTTCTTGGCAATTTTTTCATCCGCACCCTCTGTACTTAAAGAGATAGGTACTGCTCTCAGCTTCTCTAATTCTGTGTTTTTGCCAGGAATCCACCCTAAGTGATGACTCCACCCCTCCCAGCAGCAGTCCTAAGACCTTGAGCATGGCTCTGCCAGAGACCAAGTGTTCCTATCCATACCATACACTGTCACAATCATCTGATGAGGTTAGTCTCTCAGTTTTCAAACTCTGGAGAATAATACTGCAATTCCTCTTTTGCCTGTTCAACCTTCATGCTTCATGCGGACTAGACATTTATTTTTATAGTGGGATGAATTCAGTGCTTTTGAGCACTGAATTCATCCCACCACAAGTCAGCCATTCAAGTTGCTATCTCTGTTGAAACAAGTGAATAAGTATTAATATACTAGCATGTTTAATATCACTTGGGTTATTAGAAACTACATGATTTAAATGGGTGTCATTCCAACATAAAATGGTAATAAAACTGTGAATAATGAGAAGCTGAATTTATAGAAATTGGGTCATAGCCTGTGGTTATTCTCTGCATCCCACAGGGAGAGTTATCCAACTGATATAATTAGTGTGATTATAACCTGTATGATGTTAAAAAAAGGAAAAAATCTTATCCTTTTGCAATCATTCAGTGATGAAGGATGTATGCTACATGTAATAATGTTGTTACGTTCTAGACCCAGCAAGGACTGCTGCAACCGAGTGAGGAGCAAATACAGGGACACTACACAAATGATATAACTTTTAGCAATGTACTTGAAGTTGTATGACTAGAAAAATAAAACCTGAATAATTGCAAAGAGTGATCTTTCTTTTGTAATTGCAGAGTAAAAGATAACTTTGTAATTCAGCTTATATTTTCTGCAAAGGAAATCAGAAGCTGCTTGTTTAGATTTCCTTTTATTCTTTCTTTCTGCACTTTTTGTTTCTTTTTCTTTTCTGTATTTTCTGCCCTTACTTTTCAATAGTTTGCATTTGTTTTTATTTATTAAAACTTTCAATAAAAATGATAAAATGAAAGGAAAAATATATCTGAAGCTTGTACAGAACCCCATTCCTCATTTCATGCATGCCAAGAATTAAAAAAATAACATGAAAGGCACAATTGTGGGTACACAAATACCTTTTTGCATGTGTTGGGGTTTGGGGTTTTATTGATTCTGGATATGTGAAACTGTTGATAATGAGGGTTACCTAAAGCATAGAATATTGATACATTACTGAAGGAGAAAGAATGAATATCAGCACAGTAGCTCCCACGATTACATTATCAACAACAAAGATAGCATAATTTCTACCACATTTTTCCATTAGAACATCTTGAAATGGTGTAGATGGAGGCATCCCTAAAAGATTTTGATTGACAAGTGATGAACCACATGTCATGATAAAAGATGTCAGACATAAGTATGCAAGGGAGAGATTTGTATCAAGATGTTGTGGGACTTGTATTCTGACATCATTTTGATATAATTGTAGTTTACTGTGGATGCCTGTGATTATAGAGAAAGCAAATACGTATTTTTCCAATAATTTTAAAAGGAGTTAAAGTTTATGAACAGTGCCCCCTCAAAATGGCTGACTAGATGTGATGCCAGGAAGTTTAGACTTCACATATAAAGTACAAGAATTACTGTCAACATCAGATTCCACCTTCTTTCTCCTTCTTCCCCCACAAACAATCTTCCCTGAAGTTTCTGGATGAGCCTCTGAGTGCAGCTTCAATGTGGAGCAGCCAGAAAGTGGGCCAGTGGCTGGAGAGTTTGAACCTGGAACAGTACATGGCAGAATTCGCTGCTCAAGATGTGGATGGACAACAGTTGCTGCTCCTTGATGGAGCCAAGCTGAAGGTAACGGCGAAGATGATTCTCTGAAAATGGGTTTTTGAAAGATAGATCAATCCGTTCATGGAGATTGCAGATGAAATACTGTTTGGGGGAAAAAAAGGCCCTCTAGTTCATATTTTTGGTCTACAAGTACAAACTTAGCACTGATAGAACAAGTTGTACTCTAGTAGAAAATGTTCAATATTTATGTAAGCACAGATCTTAAATATAGGCACTTTTATTAGCAAGTGCTTCAAGCATTTTTCTCCAAATGGATTCCAAGCTGATAAACTTTTAGAAAAAGATCTGGATTATTTAAACATCCAAGTCATATTTGAAATGCAATGAATTATAGGAAGATAGCATTATATACTAGATCAGATTCTTTATCCATTTAGCCTAGGATTGTCAATTTCAGATGCAGTCTACAAATCAATTCTTTTGCTGCTGAAGTATGAATTATTTGTTCATTAGAAACCGCAGTAATTTAAGGGACCACAAGAACGTGCACTAAGTTTCCTCTGCATGACTTGATTTTACAGCTATATCTTCCTCCATTTCCACAGGCACTTGGTGTCAGCAACTCTCATGATCGGTCTCTTTTAAAAAGAAAGCTGAAGGAGCTGAATGCAGCTGTCGAGAAAGAGAAAAAAGCCCAGGAAAAGATGGAGAAGCAGAAAGAAAAACAGAAAAAGAAAGAACAGGAACAGAGGAAGAGTTAAGCAAAGAGAAGAAGGGGGGAATTACCATTTCCCAACATAGGCTTAGACCCATTTTTCCCTATTCCTATGGAACATCTCTGGAATGAAGGGGATGGACATCAGCATTCAGGAAAACGAGAGCAAGATGCAAGCATGGTCCTACCAAAGGTTATGGGTTTGGGTGGGACATTGGGCGAAGCTGAACTTGCTCTGGGACTAGATAATGGCGACACCAGCAGTAGGAGCTTGGCACATCACTAATGTTGGATTGGCCACAAGGGACAGAAAAGACAAAGTTGATGCAAATAGTATCTCCTCTACTATGCCAGGACAATCCAACTGCACTTTCAGGGGATCAGCAAGACTCCCTCTGCCAGTGGTGCAACATGGAGGTGGGTGATGATGCTATCTCCCCAGTCCCTGCTCTGTGTAATACCTTCAGATGACACAGCGATATCTCTATATTTCCCTGTTGATCTTATTCCTCTACACAAAATTGCTCACCTCAAAAGGCTTTAATGGGTTCATATTCTGTGTCAGTTAGATATCCCATCACATCCTCCTGCCATTACCAGGGGAACATAGCTGCCTTGCAAGACACAAACAAGGGACACACAGCCATGCATGCACACACATACACAAACACTCTCAAAACACAAGGTTGAGACAATTGCATAACAATTTCTTTTAGGTTCCTGTCTACCTCCCTTCCTCTGCATCAGGAGGGCAAAGCAGTCTTTGCCCATTCTTCGCATATGCCTACAGAATGATATTGCTGGGAGTGGATGGGTAGGTTGCTCACCACTTAAGAGACCAAACTTATATGGGGGGAGGAGGAGCTTTAGATGCCTGGCAATATACAACAAAGAATCACGGTGGAATAAAAGAAATGTTGCATTGTCGGCTGGTTTTGTGCATTAAAGTTATTGCACAGATAAGTGGAAGGTCTCCCCTTCTCCCCTTTATTTCCTAACAGTCTCATGCTGGCAGGACTGCTTTAAGGTTGTTGCAAAAGGAGAGGGCAATGGATAATCTGACACTTCAAGAAGACCACCTTTTTCTTATTACTGAATTTCTTTGCCTCATTAAGAGGACATTCCATTTTCTTCTTTGAGTTTTCTGGAGGGAAGGGGGAAGGAAAGAAAGCTGGGCATACAGGAGAAAGAAAGCAATGCATAAAGTGCTTTCCCTCACCCTGAAAGGGCAAGCAGAGCACTTACTAACCTCAGAGGTTTTGCATCTTATTTCAGAATATTATTTCATATTTACGATGAAAGTGGAAATCAGAATGAAGGGAAATTAAAACTACTTCACTGCATATGTTCCACTATAAGGTCTGTTCTCAGATGCCTTCTGAAAATTTAGGTTTGTTTTATCAAATTGGCACATAATATTCACAGACAGGGCAACCAGTGCATGTCTGCAACCTGCAGCCCATCATGCAGTCACACACACACACACACACACACACACACACACACACACACACACACACACACACACACGCTCACTTTCTGTCTTATTTTGCTGAATGTGCAATAACCTTGTGGGATTGGAGGTGCTCTCTAAACCTTTCTGGGATATTGCTGATGAAAAACAAACTGTGTTCTGTTAAGAAAATGTAGGTGGCTCAGGGGAAATGCACTTTGCCTCTCCCTTGCTTTTAAATTGCATGGACAACTCAGCTCATATTTGCAGCTCCTTCCCTCTTCTGGAAAGAGCAGAACAGCAATATTTAGACTCTTGCCTTTTCCACTTGGGGAGGTTCTATGGTTTAAAATTGATGCTTTAAACTTTGTAAACTTTGCTACTTGTTCCAAGAAAGGCAAATTATCCAGTTCCAGTCATTGCACAGATCTGCTCCTCAATATAGCCATCCGTTGAATTTCTCTCACAACTGTGTTATACCAGTCTTGAATTACATTCTACTACTTCACAGAAGCCTATAAACACCCACACTCAGGACTATGCAGAGATGTCTTGAGCCCACATTGAGGGTTGGATCTAAATCTCTAGAAAGAACTGGTTTGTTCCCAATTAGCAAAGGGGAAAATAAATCTCCATTTGTATTAGGAAGCTTCTCCCAAAATAAATTTTTCAAAAGGTGAACTGTAGAAATCAATAACTATAATGCAGAACCCTTCCCACCTAGGCCACTAACTATCAAGAGTTTCTGTAGAAATACAGAAATATGGAAAAACTCGAACTAAAATTTGCAACTGTGGAAGGAACATGCATCTCATATTTCTTTAGGTGTTGCTCCCTGGAGAGGGAAGGAAGGATCAACTGGGACTGCAGATTTTGTCTTCATTAAGAGGACATTCTGTTTTCTTCCTAGAGTTGACTTTCTTTGGGTCAGTTTTCTAGTTAAATAATCCTCAGTGGATTCTAAGAAACCTGCAACCCATAATCACAGGCTTCACTCTTCTTGTTTTGTTTCGCTGTTTATGGATATTAACTGTCCCTCAGTCCCTACTCTCTGAAACTTCTTAAAAGCTCTCAGTGCTTTGGGCAGTTGGACAGCAACCTCTCTTTTTGTCCAAACACAGTCTTTTCTGCCAGGATCCTGCATTCTGTAGAGAACTTCCCTCATAGATTCATCACCCAGATATCTGTTGCAGTTGTGGGAACTGTAGAGTCATTCTGAATTGAGGGCAGACCTATTAGAAAACAGAACCTCTCTATCACAGTGCTTATACTGACAAGAGCCAGAAAGCCAAAAGGCCCCTATCCCGCCTTTCCTTGGGTGCAACTCCTGCTCTACCACTATTTCTCAGCTAACGTAACTGTACAATGACCAATATGAAGCAATACTTTGCAGACATGGGGATAGTAAAAACAGAATAAAAATCTGTCCTGACTTATCTAAACTGCTAGATTTGTGCTTTGACCAAAGCCCAAAGGGTCTTGGCAAAAGATCCAAGATATTTGGAGGGAATATATTGACTTGGAAATTGGGGCCCATTTTTATCACAATTAATAAAATGCTTTTATTAATTTTACTTTCCCATCTCAGCCCAACATTTTACTTCTTTTATTGCTAAATGTTCATGCAAAACAGGAGGAAGCAACAGATATTGCAATAAAGCCATTATGTGCTTATGCATATTGCACACAATAATTTAATTTCTACTTTGCTCTAGGATATTGCCATATGTACCTTTGCATATTCATAAAAGAATATTCTCCTACTGTCTGTGAATCTATGTAACAACTGACCTCTGCCCACATAGCAGGGACTGTTGGCAAATCTAGCTCTGTGATTTATGTATAAAATATTTAATATATGCAATTTTAAAAAGGCAACCACTCTTTTTCTCCCCCACACATGCATTAGTAATCCCTGCCTCAAGTCCCGAACATTGTGAAGTTGACCATTTCACCATAAGCTGCCTTTGTGTATTTGGAAATACCACTTGTTTAGACTGTAACATCTAGGAACCCTCTATTTATGGAAAATTATTTAGATTAAAACTTTGTTCTTTAAACTTTCATTCTTTAAAAAAAATCATAGCAAATAACATTCTAGGGAAAGGTCATCCTAAGGTGAACCATTGTTCCAAAATTACTCCTATGTAAATAATAAAACAGCATCACCTTGCCAGCTTCCTGCCTTGAACATGACTTTCCATGAACAGGTTGGCAGGCATTGGATGCCAGTTTGAAAAATAGCCCCAAACTTTGAAAGAGAATGACTCAATTATTGTACTGTATCCAGCATGGGAATATCTTGGCACTGACCATGTCACGTACTTCTCCCTAGATACACAATATCTCAGACATTTTGCAAAGTATAGGGACTTGAAAGAGAGACAGAGGGAGGATGCTTCCTCAAGGATGCTCCTGTAGTTAAGGAAACATTGCATCAATTTGCACATGCTCCAAAACAATGGAATAAGGTGGGGCGTTTGTTACTGACCTTGCTCCAAATTGAGAAGAAAAAAGAAATATTTAACTGCTTGGCTCAGTGCTAATGCGAAATATTCCTTCTTCTGTCCACAGAAGAAAAGGCTCTGCCATTTTTGGCCAGCAGGCCTGAGAGCCTTCTTGTGTTCCTTCAAGGGACTAGGAGGGAACTGCTGCTTTTCTGTTGATCAAGTTGACAAAGCAAACAACAGTGATTCTCCCTAAAATAGGCCTTGCATGGAATGTTTCTTATAACATTTTATTATGCCACTTGCTTTAGTTCCCACAAGAGTCGACAACCTGAGGCCTCAGGACTATATAGGGTTTTTGAAGACTTTTTTTTTTAAATACTCAAGATGCTCTCCCAATCATAATTGCTAAAAAAAACAGTGGCCCAGTTTGTCATTTCAACCTGAGAAACTTTAAGGTAGGCTGAACACAATTTTACAAAATAAAAAAGGCTCTCACCTAAAAAACACCCTACTTCCCCCTATGAAAATCTTGCCTTGAACTGCATGCCTTATAATTCAAGTTTAACATTTAATATAAACTTCTAAAAAGGCAAACATTCTCCTAATGACTTTAATCTCTCATAAATTGACAGTGAAGTGATTAAGGCATCAGGCTAGAAACTGGGAGACCATGAGTTTCTAATCCTGTCTTGAGCATAAAGCCAACTGGCTGATCTTGGGCCAATCATTTCACTCAGCACTAGAAAGGAGGCAATGGCAAATTACTTCTGAAACATTTGCCAAGTAAACTGCAGAGATTTGTCTGGGCAGTCCCCAAGAATCAGACATCATTGAACAGAGGAATTTTAAAAAGGAGAAGTCTATATGAATTACTTGGCTAAATTTTCCCCCTTACTCATAGTGAAGGAGTTATTTCTCAGAGAGCTATGAAAAAAGGAGGCTTTGAAGGAAGTAAGGAATGTTGAGTAAAGTAACCGATAAGAGTATTTATAGCTCAGGGTTGAACTGTGGGATGACTGCTACTCTATTATCTTCATTGTTTTCTTGCAGATATTTCATTACCAAATTAGATAACATCATAGTAGGGAGTGGGGTTTGCTCTTATTTTAAGTAATGTAAGTAAAGCATGAAAGCCAACTTGGCAACTCTGGGCAAGTCAGCCCAACCCACCTCATAGGGTTGTTTTGAGGAAACAAGGAGGAAGGAATATTAGATATGTTTGTAGTTTGAGTTATTTATAAAAAGCAACACAGGAGGATAAAAACAAATAAGTACAAATTTAAACCCATCATTCCTAAGTGGGGGAGCAACGTTTTTCAGGACTTAGGAAGGAATCTAACTCATACAGGTTTCCAAGTATGGTGAATAATGGCGAAGTGGCAATAAGATTTGTTCTGGCTTTGTACAGTGCTCAGTGTAAGCATCTTGTTTCCCTCACAGCTAATTTTTCTTTGGGATCTAATCATCACCTCAACCAGGTCTCCCTAATCTTCCTTTGCACACATTTCCTTTGTGCAAGCCCAATCTCTTGCCTTAAATCTAACACCCAGCCCTATTTGTTGTTGAGGTTGCATATCCCTAATAAATTTTAAGCACTACCTAAATAGGTATCTGGTCAGAGATGCAATCTGGAATCTGCCTTACAAGATCTGTGAATCTGGTGTGCAAATTATGTATCACACATGAGCATAACATAAGGTGTGTATATGCCAATTGCAAATTTTAAAAAATGCAAACGCTGTGCAGTATGATTGCACATAAAGACACCATCCAAAAAAGGAAGAGGAAACACAGTATTCTAAATATTTTTAAAAATTGTATCTTGGAGAAAGGAGAAGGGATAGCTATGGTAAGTGGAGTTTTTGCACAAAAGAGCTTTGTAAGTCAGTACTAAACTGACAAAGGCAGAGTGATTTTCAGTAAATGAGGTGAAGGTGATCCGGTGAATTTTAATCAGCAGAAAAGGAGAAAGGGATTTTTCTTCTTTTGGCCTTGCTTCTAAAAGCCTAACTGAGGGGAAGAAAACTTGGTGGTTAACACCAAATAAAGAAAGTAACTGATAGATCAGCCTGGATTGTGAAGGGCATACCTAGTTGTCAGAGTGATGCTTTGCAATGAAACACAGACTCATACATTTTATCCATGGTCATGCCCTTCAAAATATAAGTCTTTTATGCCTTTTAATAACATTTGTTAGTCAGAAAAGGAGCTACCAAACTCCTCCTGATTTGTTGCTATTATAAACTAATATAACTCTCCTTCTACAATATCCTTCCAAGAAAATGGTAAAATTGCCATCAGCCAAAATGCTGCCTAACTCTGCCTAAGAGTTTGGATATCTACATGAAGGAGAAAACGGACAATTTCCAGATGTAGCCATATCCACAGCAGATGAAGTTTCATCAAAATAATGAAATGTGTATTGTGATGACACAAGATAAGCCCTGCCCCTTAGTACCTGCATATGAGGTTGTGATCTAAGTACAAAAGATAATTTTATTTGCATTGCAACATCATGACACACACATTGTCATTTGCCCTCCTTGTGCTGTCATCCCAGATGCCCATACCTAGATGTTTTCCCTGGAGGATTTTGCAACCATTTATTGTTGATCATTTGATTAGGAGGAGGAAGAAAGGCAAGTCAATTCACATGGGCAAAATTTCTCTTTCCTCTTCCAATTCAAAGCTTTGTGACGTGTGGTCCTCCATAATTACAATTATTCTTAGCCCCATGTCCATTGGTGAAAGATTATAAGAAAGAAGCTCAAGACCAACTCTTATCCAAATTTTATGTGATTCACATATATCTCCACTAGGTGTCATCATAACATGTTTGAGTAATAAACATCTCTCCTGCTCAGAAGCCAGCAATACTGAGGACAGCTGCATTCTGCATAATTGAAGACAACATGTTATGAATCAAGAGACATATTCAGGAACACAGGTGAGCTTCAAGCACACAAGTAGAATGCATGTTGTTTTACTACCATGTACTACTATTGATGCCAATGAAATCAAACCAGGAAGATCATATTTAAATTTAATGTTTTTTTTTCTTAGCTGATCAAAAAAATTGATACTATAATACTGTGGCAGCAATGGGACCTTGGCACATATCTTGTTCCTCCCAAAGAATTAAAAGTATATTTAAGCATACAAACACAGGCCCTTTCCTGGTCAAAGAGTCCAGCACAGAGGATGGGGCAGTGACAGAAGGGTGGTTTATTACTACTTAAAATGGTAAACAGGCGAGTGCAAAGGGGATTTGGGCAGACCCTTTAAGCATAACATCTGCTTAGAACAATAGCACAGGATAAAAATAGAAGGCAGAAGCAGTTTTCAGCCTACAAAACAGTTCCACTTGTTTTGAAATGGGGATTAGAAAAGTGAGATCATAGCAAAGAGCTGCTGGAAAGCAAACTGCTGCCAAAGGAGTGGGATGGGTGGGCTGGGGGGTCTTTACAAGAAGGGAGGAGAGACCTTCTCCCTATATCCGTAACATAACTGATTGCCTCTGAGTTTCTTGGCTAAAAAGCCCCTTTTTGCCCATAGCTTCTAAGCACTGGAGACATTTGAACCAGAAATATATCCTTAAAATAAATATATTCCGTTTATTTTATTACAGTTGGAGGACAGGAATGAAGCTTTCAGTGTTCCCAATTTACTCTTCAACAGACTCTTTCTTTGGCATTTCTTCTGCCTCCAGTTTTCTCCCATAAGCCACCCAACCCACTCCCCAAATGTATCATAATACTTTTTCTGCGGGGAGGAGTATCTCCTCCAAAATAAGCAGGACCTAAGGATCTATATTCCATCACAAGCCATTCTAGGAATTGAGCCATGGTGAGCAAAAGTGCAAGTAGTAAATGAAACAAACAACCAAGAAACCATAAGTCTCAAACCATCTGCAATGCTAGCAAAACCTTTTCCTTAGGTCTCAATGTATCTAGTGCAGTGTTTCCCAAACTTGACCATTTTAAGGCATGTGGACTTCAACTCCCAGAATTCCACAGCCAGCAATGCTGGCTGTGGAATTCTGGGAATTGAAGTCCACATGCCTTAAAATGGTCAAGTTTGGGAAACACTGATCTAGTGCAATCTAAGTCTGATTCTTCCAGGGTTAAAATTCCTGGTTCTTGTGCTGCTTTCCTCAACTTGTCTGAGATTCAGACTTGTATTGTGAAAAGCACACAGAACATAATGCAAAAATATATACCACTGAGAGAATATTTCTTACTTCCAGAGCAATATACTAAGAAATAAGCCTGTGTTTTCTAACGTCCTTGGCTCTTTGCAATAGATGCACTGAACTCTGCCATTGCTAGGTCATGTTTTAAACTTCTTCGTGCCTTCTGCTTGGATCTTGATTCACCTGAAGAAATTCAACATAATAACATCCACACTTTTAGGTTCTTCTTTTCTCTCTTCTTGCTTCCCGATTTTTCTCAACATATTAATGCTTAGTGGTCAAGTTCTCTCTGCTTCATGATTACAGTGCAAACATAATAAAAAGGTGATGTGCGCAAATATTAAAACAGGAACAAAAGCAGATCCTTCAGAGCCTTCCAGTCCAATAGATCAAAAGGCAGGACTGTAGTGAGGCAAAGAAATTCCATGCAGAGTTATGTTGATCTAGACTACACATTTCTGAAAAGAAATCTGAGAAAGTGACCAGGATGCTGTCTAACAGGTGAAATGGCCAGGCAGCCAAGGGGAATACTCCACAGAGGTCTTACAACACAAGGTGGGATTTATGCTGGTGATTATCATTTGTTTCTTTTTCTCACCAAAGTTTGGTTTCTCCCCTTCAGAAGCAGGGTAGTGTCCTTTCTGGTAACAGAGAGGCTAGCTTAGGTGACTCGATAGGTGGACGTGTTCTTGGGCTCCGTACTGGGCACACACCAGTCATCTGCCTCCTGGATGGTCTGATAGTGACGCCATGCGGACTTGTTATACACTGGAAGCCTTTCCACAGAGTCTGTTGACAAGGCCTAGAAGGATGTAACATAGATTAGGATGCAGTTTTGATAAAATCACATGCAGTGACCCACCTGGTATCACTGGCAGATTGTCTGCTTTTATTTTTATGTAAGGCAAATGATCTCAGGAATGAGAGGCAGGAAATAGTCCACACGGGACTGGGAATATGAGCAGGAAATGAGCAAGAAACCAACTCACTTTCAAATAGATGACAGCATCTGTTCCAAATCCCTCCATGGAGAATAATTGAAGGTCACCTTGGAAATACTTGGCATAGAGTCTAGAGATAGGTAGCCCATAGCCAAAACCGGCCTTGTTTTTGAAAGAAGAAGAAAAAAATGGGTTATTCATTGTCAATAACACCACATTATTAAGCATGCTTGTTACTTACCTCAGGAGCAGTGTTTCTCAACTTCAGCAGCTTTAAGATGTTTGGATTCAACTCCCAGCATTCCCCAGCCAGATCTTAGGAGGGGACGATCATGGCTGGCACGCTGGGAATGTTGGGAATTGAAGTCCACACATTTTAAAGTTGCTGAAACTGAGAAATGCCGCTTTGAAGAATTAGTTCTGTGCAGTCTTATGAGTCCTGTTATGCATCCCTAACTTCGCTGGCATGAAGCACACTGGGAGCCAAGAGGGTTGTCACAACTGGTGATTCACCACCGCAAACACACCCACTTACAGAAATATAAAGAAATGAGGGAGACCAGGGGATTCCAAATTTTATTTGAGCAATGGTGATGGGGAAGGGGATGTTTAGTCCTTCTCTTCCCTGCCATTTTCATGTTATAAATGGTTCCCCAACCTTAATTTTAGTCTTGACAAGGAGAAAAAGTAGCTACTTTTATTCTTTTCCCTCACAATGTTGTAAGTTCTAAAGAATTCAAATCATGAAGATGGCATGAAAAAAAGAGATAATGAACTTCCCCTCTCCCAGATATAATTTTAAGTCTTATTTTACTGTCACCTATATAATTTTAAGTTTTATTTTACTGTGGCTTTTTTCCACATATTGTTCTCAGCATTTAATTAGAAATAAATAATATTTTTCTTTCCTTACAGTCCTATTGCTCTAACATCAGAACATTTAAAGTGATCCCCACTTTATCCCTTTGATGATCTTTTATATCTGATCCCATTTGTGCAGTGATTTCTCTTAAGACTGATAAAGCATAGATTTCTACTGGTCACTGGCAAAGGACACTTTAAGGCAACATTTAAATTTTAAAAAATCAAGCTGTTTGAAGCCAACTGCCATGACTTTTTAAAAGACTGTTTGCAATACTAAATGGCTTGACATCCACAACTTTGGCCCACTTTATAACACATACCAGGGGTGTCCCTCCGGAGCCCAGCTCTGGTTTGGGTGCTGTGGAATATAAGTAGCTGAAGAGTCGATCAATCTTGCGGAGAGGAACCCCACCGCCTCGGTCACTCATCTGCTCCACAACAGAAGGATTAAAAAAAACAGATACAGGCAGAGGTTGTACAGGGAGGGAATGGAGCTATGCACCCTTATTTTCACGGGCCAGATCTTCATTTGAGGAGCTTTTCTTTAAGGAAACCAATTAGCTGGCAGTACCTAACTGGCTATAGCTAGTCTTGAAAAATGAAGGCGGGTGCACACACACACACAACACAACACAACACACACACACATTGACAAATCATTGCATATTGCTGTCAAGAAAACCTCATTGTGTCAATGAAGTCTTCAGATATGGGGTCCGACTCTAATCAGAATTTACATTATTTTTTTTTAAATTTATAAGCCGTCTCACTCCCGAAGGACTCTGGGCGGCTAACAATAAAAAACACATAAAACATAACAAAACAACAATACAAAAACAATCATCCAGGGGTAAGGTTTTATAAACCCCAGGCCTGCCGGAAAAGCAAGATCTTAAGTAGCTTACGGAAGAACAACAGGGTGGGAGTGGTCCTAATCTCCGGGGGGAGCTGATTCCAAAGCGTGGGCGCCATCACAGAGAAGGCCCTCCTCCGCGGCCCCGCCAAATGGCACTGCTTGGCCGACGGGGCCTGAAGGAGGCCCAGCCTGTGGGATCTAAGCGGACGTAGGGAACTATGAGGTAGTAGGCGGTCTCGCAAATAGCCAGGCCCTGAGCCATATAGGGCTTTAAAGGTAATGACCAACACCTTGAATTGGACCCGGAGACCAATAGGCAACCAGTGCAGCTCACAGAGGATAGGTGTAATGTGGGTGTATCGAGGAGCACCCACTATCACTCGCGCGGCTGCATTCTGGACCAACTGTAGTCTCCAAATACTTTTCAAGGGTAGCCCCATGTAGAGCGCGTTGCAGTAGTCCATTTAGATTTAAAGAGGTAACCAACAAGTCCAATTAAAGGTTGAGAGAGAGAGAGAGAGAGAGAGAGAGAGACAGAGAGAGGGAGGGAGGGAGGGAGGGAGAGAGAGAGAGAGAGAGAGAGAGAGAGAGAGAGAGAGAGAGAGAGAGAGAGAGAGAGAGAGAGAACCAGAAGTGAATTTGTCTTTTACCAGAATGAGCAAACAAACAGAGTATATGGACCCAGCCTTCTGTTCTACGATGTGTTTTGCATTCCTATTTAAATTATAATAATTATTTCCAAGTTTGCATTTCTACATCTAATTTACGCAAATTTATGCAAATTGATTTTCTTCTTTATTGTCTTTTTTGACAGTACTGAATTAAGTAAAAACATCTTGATATCATGATCAAGCCAAGACAGTACAAACTGAACAGAAACTGGAATAATGTGGTGCTTAGAAGTAACAGACTCCAACGTAACGACCAGAGCAGCAGTTCAGGACCTGTCTGGCCCAGATCCAAAACTTATTATCGAATTGTTTATGCTGATACCTTTTATCATGCAAACGGCCAATCATAGAAGCCTGTAATATTCATTCCTTCCCACGTACAAACCATCCAGTTGTATTTTTTTGTATTATGTTTATATTCTGTTTTTTCTCTAGGATGGCTTTTTTCCAACCAGAATGTCCTGCAAACAGGTGGGCTCCCAGCATTCGCTACTTAGGGAGTCGCTTCGCTGGTTGGGAAATTCTGAGGATGAATTCGACACATTCAGAGGATGTCTGTTTGGGAAAGCAACATTTATGATTCTTTCTCTTCGGCTCTATTTTACCCTCACAATTATTCAGTAACTCAAATTATATTGAGAAATAGTAACTGAGTCACGGTCACCCAGGATTTGTAGCTGAGTAAAGAGCTCTATCTGGACCTGCATAATTTTAGTCTGTTACTTCTAACCACTGCATCGAGGTCATCTTGGCTCTTCTGATATAAATGTGAACTGTCTTTCCTGTCACAACAAGTCATTATGCAAAAAGCTAAAGCTAAAGCTCAGGGATGAAATAATTTCAACCTAGGTCAGATTCTACTTAGAGGTTTTGCTATTTAATATGACTAGGAATAATATACGAGTCAATAACTGTATTTCTGTTCTCATTTGCTTTCTCACTTTGGAGAGAATTGGATGTGAGTGATTGGGAAACCTTCTTCTCCTAGAAACTTGGACTTTGAATATGAAACCAGAAATTGTAAGAAAACTATGAAACAGAGTAATATTCTTTTACTGCCTCGCAAACCACTAGTAGCTGCAGCTTCTGCCTCGCCTCTTTACTACTGTATAACCTTCTTCTTCTATCGGTTCACTTGCCATGATGGAGAGATCCTCCTGGCCCAAAGCCACCATCACTTTGATGGGTGGCAATGTGGGGCTGGACTCGTGGCTTTCTACAGTGGCCCTCATGGCATTCTGGAAGACAACAGGAGAAAAAGAGAAATACATAAGAATGCTCTAATGAACATCCCCAGACCCAGCAAGGCCCTCTATATACTTATTCTTTAAAATTATGAATTAAAAATCAGGAAGAGAATATAGAAATCATTTGGTCCAGGCCTGCAATACAGGCTGGAAATATGGCAGGCAGCTCAGAAAATCTTCCAGAGGTTTAAATACCAGAGGTATTTAAACAAATATCTCTAGTAAAGGATAATCTCTTTTATATTTATCTTTGGTCAGATGTAGACACTGAGACTGGTGCTCTAATTATAGCTTAGAGCTATGTATGAAGCCATCCTCTGCTTCATCGTCAAATAAATCTTGCTGTCAGGAACTCTTGTCTTAATGCTTAACCAATATCTACCTCTTGCAACTTCCCATTATGCTCCATTGGTTTTCTGTTGTTGTTGTTGTTACAATTGTTCAGCATTCTAGAGCCATTGGATAGATCCAATCCTCAGTAAGCTATTTTCATGGCACCCTTCCACTTACTATTTCTTTCATAACATTTTTATTTTTCTGCAAAATAGAAGAGCCCCTGACTGTGCTAGACACTAAGTTCTGCTTTCCTAGAGATCATCACTTCGAACATTAGAAGGAATTGGAGAGCTCAGGGGATGAAGTAGAAAGTTAGACTGGTTAATTAGGCCTTTGGCTTAATTAACTAGTTAATTATCTCATCTCAACATTCTATGGGCAATTATCTCTCCCCCCCCCCTCTCTCTCTCACACACACACACACCATAATATTTGAACTCAAGTTATAGACTTGATTTCTGGCTTGAATAACAGCACCAAAACATTTTACGGAAACAGACTCCAACTCTGAGAATTACCTTGAACAGTTCAAAGAGCATGTGGTACAGGTGAGATGGAACATAGACCATGTGGATGGGTTGGTTGGGTTGATTAGCTAGAAGCAGAACAAAGGTAATTAAGATGCCACTTTATTATTTTGTTTCTGTTCTTTTTTTTGCCACATGCAAAATATCCATGCTCCTTGCTGTAATAATATAGAAGAAATAGGGTTCTTCAACACAAATTTGAAGTTCATAATCACATCAGTATGACTAGATGCACTAGTCATGACTGGTCCCATTACAAGTAGTCCTCAACTTATGGCCACAATTTAGTCCAAAATTGATGTTGCTAAGTGTGACAGTTGTTAAGTTAATTTTGCCCCATTTTACAATATTTCTTGACATAGTTGTTAAGTGAATCACTGCAGTTGTTAAGTTAATCACGCAATTGTTAAAAGAATCTGGCTTCGCTATTGACTTTGCTTATCAGAAGGTTGCAAAAAGAGGATCACATGGCACTGCAATGTCATAAATATGAGTCAGTTGTCAAGCTTCCGAATTTTGAACATGTGATCATGGATATGCTGCAAGGGTCGTAAGTGAAAAATGGTCATAAGTCACTTTTTTCAGTGTCATTGTAACTTTGAACTGTCACTAAATGAACTGTTGTAAGTCGAGGACTACCTGCACTCTATAGTATCTTCATGCTAAAGCAGTGGTTCTCAACCTTCCTAATGCCGCGACCCCAACCATGTGGTTGTAAGTTGAGGACTACCTGTATTTCCCTGCAGGTGGGGCAGGAGGAGGCGCGCACACTCTGCCTCCTCTCCTGTGGCTGCACGCGGGCCGTCGCCCAGCAACCACCTTGGCCCAGGAGTGCCGCGCGTGCGTGGTGCTGCCCCCTGCGCCGGCCGAGGCGTAGCTGGCAAGCGGCAGCGATGGCACAGGCTGACCACCGGCTGGGCCACCAGCTGGCCCAGCCCAAGAGAGGTAAGCCACCTGCCGGACCCCACACGCACTAGCAACCCTCTCTGCGCCCACCACTGCCCCGCTAGCCTTACCTTGGCCACCGCACATTCGGTGTGGCAGCAGGCAGGCCCAGGCACTCCTGGGCGGCCATGGCACGCGGCAGCAACGGCGCAGGCTGACTACCGGCTGGGCCACCAGCTGGCCCAGCCCAAGGGAGGTAAGCCACCTGCTGGGCCCCACGTGCGCCAGCAACCTTCCCTGTGCCCGTCAGCCTCCCACCTCCCACCCCTGGCCCTCTTTTACTTACATTTAGTACTTGCTCAGCAGGGAGGGGTGGAAACGTCCAGAAATCTCACCTCAGCTGCAGACAACTGGCAGCACCGTTTGCAGACTGGGGCTTTTGGCAGGCTCACCAGGGCAGAGACAGCCTGGACAATTCCTATTGGCTTTTGAAAGCCAATAGAATTAGACTCTATTCAAGAGAGTCTATTCTATTGGCTTTCGAACATCAATAGAATAGAGTCTCTTGAATAGAGACTTTTATTCTAATAGAATAAAAGGGAGTAGCACAGCAAAGGAAAGGGGGGAAAAATGGTGGACTACGTTGTTTGACGACCCCCGTGAAATGGTTGTTCGACCCCAAATGGGGTCGCGACCCACAGGTTGAGAACCGCTGTGCTAAAGTAAAGGTGCCTCAGCCATATAACTAAGTGCGGAAAACCTCACAAGATGGACAGCTTCCTCAAACTTCATTGGTCCTCTGCCTCCTCAGGCTTTTTGTTTGATTGTAAATTCTCAAACTTCTTTTGGTCAAGTAAATTATCAGGTTTACCTAATTTTCTGAAAAGTTTTACCTGATTTATTTTAATCATCTTTCCAAAGACATTTACACTCAGATATTCTGCCCAACACTGCAGTTTGGTTTCCTGATATGATTAGGCTATTTCAGAACTTTTCTTGGATGATTTCAACATTATGCTTACACATTTTGCCACCAAGTCAGGAATATTTACTTATCACATTTACCAGGTCCCCAAACTTTATATTATTCCACAATGAGGCTATCATATTCAAGCTGCAAAAATCTGGACAACTACTAGATGACAACAAAACGATACCCAAAAAATCTTAAAATCTGGCTATATTGTGATTGTCTGGATTTTTTTACAGACAATCAGCTATAGTAAATTTACTCCATTTGGTCTGTCTTTAGGATGATTTTCCATGCAAAACTATATCTATGGAACCCCCCGTTCTAAAAGACCCTTCAGTTCAAGCAGTTGGTGTAAAACAGAAAAAAATATTTATATATATACATCTGCTGGTTTAGACCAGGGGCCAATGTTTGTGCGTGTGTGTGCACACATGTATGTTTGTATTTTTCTTTCTTTTGAAGTGCCAATTGGGGGCTATTAGGATTTTTATCTATACAAAGGTCAATGACTTATCTAATACAACAGCTTGCTCTTGAAGTGAGCCAACCAGATACATTCAGAAAGCCAACAAGCAGATAAGTCATGAAGACAATAGTGAACCCTGATCACATGCAGTTGCTCCAGGCACAGATACCTAAGGCCATGATACCTCTGGTCATGAAGGTTTCATTTATCTATTTAACGATTACTGAAATTATTGATAAATTTCACTTTCAGAAGCTGAACTAAGCTGTAGACTTAGAGAAGGATGGATTACATGACTTTCATATCATTTATCTGTTGCCATAAAAAAGAAGAAAGAGGTAGTGACTGATTTGAAAGTGAGGTAGTAAGAATTAAGCATCAGGCAAGGATTAAAGTTGTACAAGCTTAGGAGGCAAAGAATAATGATGCACAGCTCTCAACTAGTTTCCTGTCATTCACTAATTATGCATGGGTTTTGGAAGAAATGCTGGAATGCTACTATTACCCATGTGAAATTTGTTGATTAAAACCAGAAATAATTGTGCTTTCTCAACCCAGCATTTTTAGGGACTCAAAGAACTAGCTTAAAGTAACATAAGACGATGCCTGTTGGTTTAAGCCAGGGAGCCATTCAGCCCAGCATCCTGTGTCAGGCAGTGACCAACAGCTGCAGCCAGGAAGTTCACAAGCACAGACAGAAGACAGAAGTCTCTCTACCACTGCTGCTCTCCAATAACTGCTATTTAAGATATGCTGCCTTGGATAAGATTCCAACATATCTGGAAGAAACAGATTATAATAATAATCCAATCTCATTTTATGTTCTCCTGTATCTCCTCTTATTGCAGTTTTGAGGTATCAATTGTCCATACTATTTTGCTGTTAAAAGGGCAGTCACTGTCATTTGTTTTAAAAGGTAAGGCAAAAAAGAAAGAAGCCCAAAGGAAGGGAAAATGGGATTCTAGCAAAGCTTTAGTTGCCAAGCCACAACAATAACTCTAGGGCAGCTGCTTATTAAAGGCTCATCAGCTACTTACTATGCCACTTGTGAGGTGTTGTTCCACTGGCTAAATAGAAGAGAAAAAAATGGAGAAGGCTAGCAGTCCCTCTAAAATCCCCTGTGCATATAAGAGGCCACTGAACAGCCTGTTTGGACAATACCCTCCCTCCCACTTGGCTTATTTGCTCCTCTTCTTAACTTTCCCACTTTTATCATAGCTTTGCGAACTCACCATTCACCTCCTGAATCTCCAGGTCAGGAGATGCCAAATAGTACTTGTCACATAACAGTTTGGCCATGTCATAAGCATCTGCAGCAAGAAACACAAAACATCCGTTATTACAGAAACACAGCTGCTCTTCTTTGTTGAATTCCATAACCTGTCAGCTTTATCATAAATTGGCAAAGATCATCTACTTGATGAGCAGATTAAAAATTCCATATAGGTTAAATTATAAGATTCCAATTTGGGGGATTCCTGGACACGCGATAGAGGGAATATCTAGGGGTGTGAATTTGGATAGGATTTCTTATAAGGAATTACTTAGTTTGGTAGAGAAGGATTGGCAACTAAAGTCTTTAACTGAGCTGAAGCAAGAAAATATTGTACACTCTTGGTTTCAGTATAATCAATTGTTAGTTAGATGGAGTTTAGATCAAAAGGTTGGTATTACTTTAGAGGATGTGAATTTGGTAAAACAGATTAAAGAACAGATTAAAGATCAAACTCGAGCCCATATAAAGAGAATTTATTATGTTTTAATAGAATTGGATTCTGAAATGGAGTTAGTTAAAGATTGTATGGTTAAATGGGCTCAAAATATTCAAGAGCCAATTTTATTGGATACATGGGAGACAATTTGGGTTAGAAATATAAAATTTACCCAAGCGCAAAATTTAAGAGAAAATTTTTATAAAATGTTTTATAAATGGCATTTGGATCCCCAAAAGTTGTCCCGCATGTATCCTAATTTACAGCCCAAATGTTGGAGATGTGGAAATTTAGATGCAACCTATTTTCATATTTGGTGGACTTGTAGAGATATAAAAACTTTTTGGATTAAGATTTGGTGGAATATTCAAAAGATTTTTAAGAGAAAGATAAAGTTTACTCCTCAATTATTTTTGTTGGGTATTATGGTTGATTTTGATGTTAAAGAAATTAATTTGATGCTGAATCTTATAACAGCTGCAAGATTATTGGTAGGGCAATATTGGAAGAAAAATTCTTTGCCTACTATGGAAGAATGGATACTTAAGGTGTCTAATTTAGCAGAAATGGCGAAAATCTTCGCCTATTTGAAAGACCATTCACAAGAAAAATATATTTCGGTCTGGCGAAGATGGATTGATTGCATTCAAAAGAAATATGAAACTGAAAAGTATTATCTTGCTTATGAGTAGATTTTAGATTATTATTAATAGTTTAATATGGTTGAATTTATATTATTTTTAGTGTTATGATTTAATTATATTATTATTTTTGTTTTTAATTAGTTAACATTTGTTTTGAAAAGGAGTTAAAGTATGTTATAGATTGATTGATAGTATAGTCAGGTAATGTTTGTTAGATTATGATTGCTTATTTGTTACCCTGTAATCAGCTCTGGGAAGTGGGGGAGGGGGGAATGGGTGGGAGGGGTTTGGGTCATATTGTATTAAATTTGTAAAACTTTTAATAAATTGGCAAAGATCATCTACTTGATGAACAGATTAAAAATTCCATATTACTTTCATGCAAATTACTGTAATTTGGACTAAATTAGCCAGGGAAGGAATATATTGCCTCCCCCAAATTTTCAGAGTTTGAATTTTCTCCTCCTTTTTAATCCACATTTCCTTCTGAATTCTATTTAAGAACCACCTAATTCAACCAGGAGGGACTATGAAAGAACAGCCTAGGTGGGTCAGAAGACTATTAGACGATCTTCTCCCTTTTGTGCTAACCCCATGCAGTAACTGGAAATCCAGCTTCCTGACCTGTCCTTCCAGAAATACAGGACCATATTATATTCTTTGTATATTGGCATGCTATAGATGCTTGCAATCCTTTTTGAGCAGGGATTTGCATTTCCAAAAACAGCAAGGGAAAAGATAAAGAAGTGAAAACATCCTAAACTGGTATTTAAATTGTACTTTAAAAACTACAGTTTAGCAGTAACCATTAAAAAGTTCTGGTGGCTGCATAAAAGATTTTGTACAAACCATGTATGTCTTGGGTGTAGAGTACAGGGAACTTTAAGTTCCTCCAAGTTTCCACTATAAGATAAACCCTAAGAAATTGCAACTTCTGTTTCCAACACTGATACCACAATTGAACAGTTTAGCTGTAGTAAATCTTTGTACGTGGGAGGGCCCATTTTCTTAGATATTGCCTGGGTTACCTATTATATTAAACTATAGCTTGTTTAATCATGATTTATTAAACAAACTACAATTAAATGCTTAGCACAACCTACTAACTTAAAACCAAAGTACTCACATTATGACCTACAAAACATATAAACCAACCTCTGTTTCTTCTGTGAATTTAGTCAATTGCCTTTTCAAACAAGCCACACATCTTATGTTAATCCAAGGTAGACAACTCCTGGCCAGAAAGCTGCATATAATCATGGGATACCTTTTTTGTGACTCCCTATTTTTGGAGACTGGAGACGGGTTAAGGAGCAAAATTTATTTCTTAAGGATTCCAGAGGGAGAAATTGATGCTGCTGCAGGAATCAAGGAAGAACACTTACCTCTAACCACATCTGATACGTTGCAGTGGGGATCAATGCTGCCAATGTGCTTGGGATGGGCTGGATTGGTGCTGCCATCAAAAATCAAGGCTGTGAAAAAGAGAAAATGCAAATGAAGGGAGGCGGCCATCATATGTCAAAAGTAGGCTGCTGCCTACAAAGATACAACTCTAATTAAGAATTCATCCCTTAATACTAAAACCAAGAGGAAGGGAGGAAAAAAAAGGAAGAAAAACAAATCTGAGGGGGTTAAGATAACTCACTGTGTTGGTTGAGCAGCATGCGGATAGAAATACGGCTAAGATAGAAACGATCGAGGAAGTACTGGATGTTTTGGTTGGAAACCGGGTCATCACCATAAGCTTCCCTATATTCAATTACACCCTGTGCCATGGTAGGGACCACATCATTGTGACGGTTGCGAATTGTGACCAGAGCATTGGTGAACCTAGAATGAGACAGCAGCATTCCACAGAGACTGAATTTTCCATCTATTTATATCCAGATATTACACTTTGATTTCAGAATTCACACAGAAATAATCCAAGGATGATTCAGACTTAATCAATTTATCTAATTTATCTAATCTGAGATTTTTCAGGTGACTTGAATTTTCACTCCCCAAATTCCTAACCAATGAGGGTCATTTGGCCTGTAATTTGTGATTTTCATTAATAAGACACTTGGAACATGCCAGACTGGAAGTTTGTATCAGCTCAACATTAAAACTAAGAGTTCTAATGATGCATTTGTGTACATCTTAAGAGGTTTCTAAATTCAAACTCACTGCCCCAATATCCTTTGGTCCTCTGGATCTTTGTCAAGGAACACCATGATGTCCAGCAAGCTCTGCACATACCTGGTGGAAGGAAAAAGCAGGGAGGGAGGGAGGGAGGGAGGGAGGGAGGGAGGGAGGGAGAGAGAGAGAGAGAGAGAGAGAGAGAGAGAGAGAGAGAGAGAGAGAGAGAGAGAGAGAGAGGAGTCATATTTATTATATAAGAACTAGTTTTTATTCTGATTCTGTTAGGATGTAATTGATAGCAGATAAGCAGTGCATCATTTAAACAAAACTATTACATTGACGGTTTAGTAGTCCTACAATCTTTGAATTTTTGCTTCCGCAAGATCTTTGATATACTTTTGCTTGACTTACAAGGTGGCACAGCAGTTAGAGTGCAGTACTGCAGGCCACTTTAGCTGACTGTGTTCAGCAGGTCAGCGGTTCAAATCTCACCGGCTCAAGGTTGACTCAGCCTTCCATCCTTCCGGGGTAGGTAAAATGAGGACCCAGATTGTTGGGGGCAATGTAAATATATATATATATATATACATTGCTTACTGGTGTACACCGCTTAGAGAGTGCTTGCACTTAAAGCGATATATAAGTCTCATAAATAAATAAATAAATAAATAAATTTGTTTAGTGACTGTTTGAAATTATAATGGCACTGAAAAAAGTGGCTTAAGACCAGTCTTCGTTCTTATGATCATTGCAGAATTATGTGATCAAAATTCAGGTGTTTGGCAACTGGCATGTATTTTTGATGGTTGCAGCATCCTGAGGTCATGTGATTGCCATTTGCGACCTTCCTAACTGGCTTCCAACAAGCAAAGTCATTGGAAGAAGCTGGATTTGCTGAGCAACTGCCTGATTCATTTAAAAACTGCAGTAATTCACTTTACAGCCAAAGCAAAAAAAGTTACACAATTGATTCACTTAACAACCACCTTGCTTAGCAATTAAAATATTGGTCCCAATAGTGGTCATAAGTGTAGGACTATCTACAAATGTGATGCTGGCTGATTAATCTGCATGTGCATAAAACATGCCTTCTATACGTGTTGGGTATAATTTTCCTCATGTCAGTCAGGATGGTGCAAATTATCAGATAAGAAGTAGCAATATAAAATAGCAGTTGTAGAAAAAGGCTATTTTCTTTGTACTTTGATGAAGCGTGTATATTATACGTGTTTCAATGAGACCCATCTTAAGCATAGTGTTTTCTTGTGTATAAAAGATTAGAAAGAGCAGGAGTTCCAGTTTGCATTGCGGCAAGATGGGATGCAGGAAGGCAGGGCTCTGCCTTCCATGCCCGATTTCGCCCTGCTGGGGGTCTTAAAAAGGGCCTAAAATCGCCCCAAAGAGGCGATGAAGAGGAGGGGAGCCTTGTTGATCATGGACAGGTGGCAGACTTTCCGTTCGATCTGAGGAAAGTCCTCCAAACTGGTAGAGGAAAGACTGGCTACATTCCTGTGGCCGACCCTTACCTGCTGACAACCGAAGAAGAAAAAAGCACTACTTAATACTCATAAACAGCATTTTTGGAACTGGGTGAGAATATTGATCCTTTCTTTACTATTTTACAACTGAATTTCCTGGGAAAAGCTCCCAAGAAAAGCTCCCAATGTCCAAACATAAACGGAAGCGGTGTTTTAATTTTATGGGGGACAGAAACATACAATAAAGCTGTCAATAAAGGAAAATATTTTGGCATACCTATCGCCCTGACCTTCTTGGATTATAAATACCTACTGAGCTTGGACTTTTAACTTCAAAAGTTAATGGGAGAGAAAGAAAAAATTGACCTTGGACTACGCCTGGCGAGGAGAGACTTTTGAGCTGTTTTCAGAGAGGTTGAATATTTTGGGTAGTATTGAACAGATTTATATTGAAGAAGTTAATATTAAATACTTTAACCGAGACAACATGTTGTTTACTAAGCACTAAAGACTGTAATTTTTAAAAATTAATAAAACTTAAAAAAACATTAGAAAGAGCTTGTTTTTTGAAGATCTAGCACTTGGTGCAAGTTCTTGTTTTAAAAGTAAATACCTGAGAAGAAAGTAAAATATCAATTAGATCTTAATATATATACATCAGCACACTGGATGCCATACCAAAAATTCTTGGATGGCATTTATAGAATTTCCATCTGTCACTTACAAAAAGGCCTTATTACAAACCAGGGAAAGCACCGGGTACGGATGGGTTAACAGCTGTTTATTATAAAGCCTTATTGGAGGAGATGACTCAACCATTAGGTGATCTTTTTAATGGCATTTTACAGGGTCAAGAGATTCCTCCCTCATGGCGTACTGCTTTTATATCATTGATTCCAAAGGAAGATCAAGATCTTACTTTACCTAAGAATTATAGGCCTATATCTCTTTTAAATGTGGATTACAATATATTTGTAAAAATCTTAGTAAATAGGCTTATGAGGGTTGTGCACCACCTTGTGCATAAAGATCAATCTGGGTTCATAACTGGAAGGTACATGAAAAATAATGTCAGACAAATTATTAATTTATTAGAATATTTAGATAAAAACAACCAAGTTCCTGCAGGGCTGATATTTTTAGATGCTGAAAAAGCTTTTGATCAATTGAATTGGCATTTTATGTTAAGAGTAATGGAAGAGATGAATTTTGGTGAAAAGATATTGCAAGCTCTTATGGTAATATATCAAAAACAAACGGCACAACTTATCGTTAATGGAGGCTTGTCAGAGGTTTTTACAATAGAGAAAGGTACTAGACAGGGTTGCCCATTATCACCGTTGCTGTTTGTCTTAACACTGGAAATACTGTTGATCAAAATTCGAGAGTCGCAGGAAATTAAAGGGATAGAAGTTAATAAAAAAGAGTATAAGTTAAGAGCTTTTGCGGATGACTTGGTTATCACTTTGTCGCAACCTACTTATTCTGTAGTAAAATTATTACAGCTGATTCATAATTATGGTTTGGTTTCGGGTTTTAAGATTAATGTTAATAAGACAAAAATTTTACCTAAAAATATGACTAGTCGGGAGAAGCAGACTTTGGTTAACTTGACGGGTTTTGAAATTGTTAATAAGGTAAAATATTTGGGGGTGATGCTATCTGTTTCTAATGCAAAATTATTTAAAAATAATTATGAAAGGTTGTGGGTTAGGGTACAGAGAGACTTGAAGAATTGGGAAAAGTTGCAATTATCCCTCATGGGAAGAATTGCAGTGATAAAAATGAATATTCTACCCAAGTTTCTCTTTTTGTTCCAAATGATACCGATTTTGAAGAATGAGATCAATTTAACTGAGTGGCAGAAAGGCCTTAATAAATTTATTTGGGCAGGGAAAAAGCCAAGGGTTAAATTTAAAATTATGCAAGATTTCCGTGAGAGGGGAGGACTCAAGGTGCCGAATTTGAAATTATATTATGATGCGGTGGTTTTAACATTAGTTAGTGACTGGGTAAATTTGACAAATTCTGATATACTTCACTTAGAGGGATGGAATTTACTTTTTGGGTGGCATGCCTATTTAATATTTAATAAAAAAATGGATTGGGCTTTTAAATCTCATATCTTAAGAATTTCTTTACTTAGGGTTTGGAGAAAATATTACAAAAGTGATTTTAAAGTACCATTATGGGCCGTACCTTGGCATGCAATAGAAGGAATAAAAAGAGGGGTTAAAATGGATATGGTGTCCTATAGACAGTTACTTAAATGGGATGGACAAAACTGGCAGTTAAAATTACGGGAAGAGTTAGCACAAGAAAATATTATTTATTCTTGGTTCCAATATAGGCAATTATTAGATAGATGGAAGATAGACTGTAAGGTGGGTTTTCACAGAGAAGATGAAAATCTTATTAAGCAAGTGAAGGATCAAAGACAAACCCACATTAAGAGGATCTATGGGGTTTTAGTTGAATTGGATTCAGAAACGGAACTAATTAAAGATTGTATGATTAGATGGGCGCAGAATTTTGGTGAGCCAGTTCCATTGGACACCTGGGAAATTATTTGGGTGAGAAATGTCAAATTTACACAAGCACAGAACTTAAGGGAGAATTTTTATAAAATGTTTTATAGATGGCACCTTGATCCACAAAAAATGTCTTTTATGTACCCTGACTTACAACCTAAATGTTGGAGATGTGGTTGTATGGATGCTACTTATTATCATATTTGGTGGTCGTGCAGAGAGATAAAAGCATTCTGGATTAAGATATGGTGGAATATCCAGAGAATTTTTAAAAGGAGGGTAAAATTTACTCCACAATTATTTTTGTTAGGTATAGTTACTGATTGTGATACAAAGGAGGTTATATTGATGTTAAACTTGATAACAGCTGCGAGGCTGTTAGTAGGACAATATTGGAAGAAGGAATCTTTGCCTACATTGCAGGAATGGTTTCTTAAAGTGTCTCATTTGGCGGAAATGGCAAAGATTTCGGCTTTCTTAAAGGGACAAACGCAAGAGAAATTTCTTGCTGTTTGGGATAAATGGATAAAATTCATACAATTTAAATTTGATATAAAAAAATATTATATAGTTTTTTCATAATTTTTAACTTTATATATATATATATATTTTCTATTTTATATTTTTTTTTATAATTTTTTTTAACTTTTTCTTTAATTAAGCCTATATTCTGCTCTGGGAGGTCCTGGGGGGGGGGAAGGGGGGGTTTGGGTAGGGGTGGGGGAAGGGGGGTTTTGTTGGGTAATGTTTGTTTTTTATTTGTATATGTTGTTTTTTGTTTTTGTATTGTTTCTTATTTTTTGTAAAATTTATAAAACTCTTTAATAAAAAAAAAAAAAGGCCTTATTACCAGATGCACACAGATACTACAACTATACATTACAATATCATAAGTTCTTGGGGAAAAAAATGAGTATGAAGTCCAACACCAGCTGAAGAATTGGCAGCTGGGACTTCACATTGTTGTGAAGAGATAATAAAATCAAGCTTATTTGACAATTAAGTCTTACAAAATGAAACCATTTTTTTATCTATGACAGGTTGGAATGTTTTGGAAAAAATGAGGTTAGGATTCACTCCTCTAGCTTCTTACATATTAAGAGTGACT